ACCCCCTCACCACGATAAGGTGTCAGCCACGAGGGGGGGGGGGGATTCACTCTGGGATCGACGAAGACTTTGAAATCCGGTTTCCAAAGTCCGGCGACATATGCCACGATCGCCCCATTTCACGCTGCGATCGCCAGTCGACTCTGGACCCGGTCTTCCAAAGTCGACGAAAGCGAACGCTTCTCACTCGCTCAGACACACCATGCAATATGCAACATGCAACATGCAACACACAAAACTGACAGCCCCCTGCTGTCAGTCCAGCCCCCCCCAATAGCCGCAGACAACGGGAGAAGATAGAGGCACCATACCGTTTATCTCCCGAGTCCGCGATCCAGAAAAATCAAGATGAGACGACCGAATCGGGTTCTGCTCCGGCGGACCTCGAGGCATGGTGCTAACGAGAGGCCTGACAGAAGCGATTGATTCTCACTTGACATCAAAGCCGGTCCCTGCCTGGGGGACTCTTATAGACACCCGAGTTTTGCAACCCGAGTGCGACGAAACGGCCTTGGGGTCGACGTCTCGTAGTCGAACTAGCAGTATTTCGAAGCGTGCGCCATTGGCATCTCGATATGTCTAAAACTGCAAGTTATTAACAATTTGACGTTATTTAATTGTTTGCAATTACAAGAGACGCCAGTGGTCGAGATCGTTAAATGGTTCGGTTGCGTAGCCGGTGGTAGTTGTTGCGTCGGGTTTCGAGTTCGAATCCGCGAGCGGGGTCGGTTTTTGTATTTCATTTTTTTATGATGTATAAATTTATACATCGATTGTAGGAATGATTTTTATAATCACTTTTAATGTTGTGCCATCTATTTTATGCGCGCAATTTCGATATATACTTGTTAAATACTACTTGAAATATAATGACAAATTTAGATTAATATTATAGAATTTAACGTTTTTTTTGTAAATTAAGGACGGCGCCGATGAAAAAATATCAATTTGGTAAATAAAGATTTTGGAAAAAATTTTTTTTTTCAAAAAATGCATGGCAAAGGTCAAATGGTAAAGGTCAAAGGTCAAAAAAATTTGACCAAAGACTGAAAATTTCAAGTTAGCAACGGTTGCATGGCAAAGGTCAAATGGCAAAGGTCAAATTTTGGGAAAAAAAATTTTGCTCAAAAAAATTTAGGTCAAAAAATTTTGGAAAAAAATTTTTTTAAAAAAAAAATTTGGTCAAAAAAATTTACGTCAAAAAAATTTAGGTCAAAAAAATTTTGGTTCAAAAAATTTTTGGTCAAAAAAAATTTTGGTTCAAAAAATTTTTGGTCAAAAAAAACTTGGTCAAAAAAATTTAGGTGAAAAAAATTTTGGAAAAAAAATTTTGGTCAAAAAAATTTAGGTCAAAAAAATTTTGGAAAAAAATTTTTGGTCAAAAAAATTTTTGGAAAAAAATTTTTGATCAAAAAAAATTTGGTCAAAAAAATTTAGGTCAAAAAAATTTTGGTCCAAAAAATTTTGGTCAAAAAAATTTTGAAAAAATAAATTTAGGTCAAAAAAACTTTGGAAAAAAATTTTGGGAAAAAAAAAATTGGCCAAATTCTCTAAATATGATTGTAATATTGATCCGATAAATTTATATGTGTGTTTGAAAGTGTGTGTGTATGTGTGTGAGTGAATGACATAAGCCAAATAGCTCATAGAATAGTCATGTATTCTGATTGCTATTGAAAATAAAAATTAAAAAAAAAAAAAAAGATGGGTCAAAAAAATTAAGGTCAAAAAAATTTTTGGTCGATAATATTAATTTTGGGAAAAAAAAAATTGGTCAAAAAAATTTTGGCCAAAAAAATTTGGGTCAAAAAAATTTTGGCCAAAAAAATTTGGGTCAAAAAAATTTTGGCCAAAAAAATTTAGGTCAAAAAAATTTTGGGAAAAAAAATTCGGGGAAAAAAATTTTTGGTCAAAAAAATTTTGGTCCAAAAAAATTTTTAGTCAAAAAAAATTGTGAAAAAAATTTTTTGGCAAAACATTTTGGTCAAAAAAATTTTTGGACAAAAAAATTTTGGTCAAAAAAAATTTCGGTCAAAAATTATTTGGTAAAAAAAAGTTTTGGTCCAAAAAATTTTGGGAAAAAAATTTTTGGACAAATAATTTGGTCCAAAAAAATTTGAGAAAAAAAATTTTGGACTAAAAAATTTTGGTCAAAAAAATTTTGGGAAAAAAATTTCGGTCAAAAAAAGTTTGGTAAAAAAAATTTTTGTCCAAAAAATTTTTGGTCAAAAAAATTTTGGAAAAAATAATTTTGGTCCAAAAAATTTTCGAAAAACAATTTTTGGTCCAAAACATATTGGTCAAAAAAATTTAGGTCAAAAAATTTTGGGAAAAAAATTTTGGCCAAAAAAATTTTGGTCAAAAAAGTTTTGGGAAAAAAAATTTTAGGTCAAAAAATTTTGAAAAAAAAATTTAGGTCAAAAAATTTTGAAAAAAAAAATTTTGGTCACAAAAATTTTAGGAAAAAAATTTTGGTCAAAAAAATTTCGGGAAAAATAATTTTGGAAAAAAAATTTTTGGTCAAAAAATGTGTAGACAAAAAAATTTTGGTCAAAAAAATTTTGGGAAAAAAAATTTCGGTCAAAAAAAATTTGGTAAAAAAAATTTTGGTCCAAAAAATTTTGGAAAAAAATTTTTGGGAAATAAAAATTTTGCCAAAAAAAGTTTGGTTTAAAAAATTTGTAAAAATTTTGATCCTTCAATCTCGTGAACAAATTGGTCTATATTCCATGGTTCATCACTTTTTCACTTTTTGAGAAAACCGTTGCCATATATATTATCTACGCGTATATTTTGTCCTCATTTCATTTATTCAAATCAATCATCAGGCTCATCTTTTCCATTTGTACTACCTTATATATTGAATCATTTCATATACCACGTCACCATTGACATTCATATAAAAATGACCGTGATATCGTGATGCCATTGGGTTCAGCACAAAATCTTCAAAAAAAAAAATAAAACAAAAATAAAAAAAAATAGATACATAAAAAACTGCCATAGAAAAATGTTAAAGTAAAAAAAAAAAACGATTTTCTTTTGTGAAATTAAAATATTGTGTTATATATATTATATATTTTTATATTGTATAATAATAAAAACACAATCGTTTTGTAAGTGATGTTATATTTCATAAATATATCAAAATATTAATATATATTAAAGTATAGAGATATAATTTCCTATAAAAACGTTAATAGTTAATTTTTAATAATAAATAGTTTTACACCTCATAGTGCGTTTACAGCATTAAATGTTATTATTAAATAAATAAAAATACCGTTTTATACAAAAAATTCTTCGTAATAAATTTTGTAATTTTAAAAATATAAAAATATTATAGGCCTATAAGATTGGTGAAACATTTATGAATAAGTACTAAAGCATAAACTATATAAAGTAAAAAAAATGTTTTTCATTTAGAAATGTGCCCATAATTATGAAAGTGGTGTAAGTCAAAATTTAAAAAAATGAGTTTATCAGTTATTTCATACCACATTAGTTTAACTAAATGTATTCAATGTAATTTTTACGAAATTGTCAAAAATGTACCATTAGATAGTGGTTGTAATTTCAACATTATATGGAATTCATTTAGTGTTAATTATCAAAGTGGTCTAAGTCAAACATTTTTGGTGTCAGGTCATTCCTTTCTACCGAATGATCGTGATTTTGGGTTGATAGAAATGAAAATAAAAAAGCAAATTACTTATACAACCCTGAGCATTATTATGAATTGATAGAAAAGTGCAGAAGAAGTAATACATTATCGATAAAGCGAATGTCGCAGCCGGATTTTATTTCAACGAAATCATTAGAAAATACAATAACAAGAATAGTAAAATATACCGCGGGCGAATCTGTCTCTTGGCTACAAATTCAATGGATGAGATTCTTGAAAAATGAACCTTATAATTTTTTTTATGTTTTATAAAACTTCTTTAGATGATTCTACATTTCACGTTTTGGATCTTTCACCTAAAAGAGAAAGACCAAAAATATACGAAAATATTAAATTACTTCCATACACCAGCATTAGATAGATATTATTAGTTTACTACCGTACATCCCGCCAGTTTTTCAGGAAAATTTTAAGAATCTTAAATACTCGAAATAATGTTTTTATTGTTTTTATTTGATTGCAAATTTGCACTGTTAAAATAATCTGCATTTTTTAAATTAACACAATTGAATGCAAATTATAAAGACTTGTTAAGTGTTGTCTGGTTCCAAACTTTCGCTTTAAATAAAAATAATTAACAACGTTTATTAAGGGGGTCTTCCTATGTGATGGGTTGAAAAAATCGATTTTTTTTATAAATTGCTCCCTTAACATGTCTAGAATACGGTAGTAAAGCTATTTTAGAAAATTCGAAGTCGTTTTAAAGATACAGCAGGTAAAAGAAAGAGCGGTACGGAGCGCTGAGTTGGCAGTTAGAAACTGACTTTAAACGCGTTTTTCTCAAAACTGTGTTTTTCAAACTTTCCTCCATGAGCCGTATCTCAGAAACGGCTGGACCGAATTACTTGAAATTTACAGGGCACACTCAATATATTTAAACGTATGGAATGAACTATTATCAATCGAATCAAATTTTCAAAACTTCGATTTTTTATAGCAAAAAACAAAAAAAACGCCTAATTTGCAACTTTTATTTCAAATGTCTATCAAAAATCTAATTTTTTTTAATATTTTAATATTGATTATAGGTCATTCCGTGCTTTTAAGCCTACAAATTAAAACGCCGTTTACTTTTTTTTTTTTAAGATAAGCCGATCAGCCGGAATCGTGGAGCTCTTTTTTTCGAGACGGGGGTGTTCAGAGCGCTGTAACTCTAGTCGGGCTAAATTTTTTTAGCTGAAATTTTATATTTATACTGTCCAAATATGTGTTAATAAATGATAAAAAACTTGAAGCTCTAAATATTTACTGGTCGTAGAAAAAAAAACTAAAATATCGCTAAAAAACAGGCCGTCACATAGAAAGACCCCCTTAATTAAGACCAATAAAATTGAAAATTAAAATAATGTAAAAATATTTTTTAATTTATTCAAATGCAAATCATTAAATATCCCGAAACAAGAAATATTAGGTTGTCAAATATCTCCCTTCCGCCTTTTTGTATTATAAACCAATAGCAAAAAAGCGGAAGGGAGATATTTGACAACCTAATATATGACTTAGACCACTTTTATAATTATGGGCACAAATGTCATTTTACCTTTGATTAAGGGCCCAAAAATCCTTGAAAACTCGATCGCGTGATTAATGGACGTCCCCTAAACTACATTCGAGATGAGAACAAAGGGGCAAGCCTTTCACAAAAAATGTATTCCACGCACAAATATATAATATAACAATACTTCAACCTTCAAATTTATATATATATATATATATAGAAGTAGAAAAGAAAATCTCGCAATCACAGACAAGTACACACACGCACGTCAATCACACTCGATCATCATCTCAGTCTACTTTTCTGGGTTTGCGTTTCCTGGTCTGCGGACTGTTGGTGGGGCTGTTGTTCTGCGAAGCGTTTGGTGTCTTTTTGTTGACGGCATTCGATTTGTTGGAGTCACCGCCTGCCTCCTGGTTAATCAGGTTCTGCTCCTCGTTGTCCTTCTCGGAACTGGTGTCTTCTTCGGTGTCAATTCCGCTGTTTTTCTCCAATTCGGAATTGTCGTCGATCAGGTCCTCTTTGCTTATTTCCTCTTCACTCTGCAGAGGAAAAAAGGAAATAGGTGTGGGTGTTATTTTACCCTAGAAATTAAATTTAATGTTTAGTTTTATTATTCTTACCGTGTCTTCCTGGTTTTCCTCTTTCTGACCAGCTTTTGATTTATCCGTTTTAGGTGGATAGAAGAAATCGATAATGCACACCAGCACCTAAAACAATATAGATACACATGAAGTTTTATTATTAACTTCCCGTAGGGTAGTTCTAGTAATGGGACGAAAATCGAAAAAACTTTTGCATTTCTCGACGTTTTGAAGGTTTCTGAACATTTTTTAAGGGCATACCTCAGAAACTAAATGAATATGTGTGTGTATATATGGATACAAATTTTTCTGTCGACGATTTCGGGCGCACTGTTAAACCGATTTGGATGATTCATTTACCATTCGATTCCTATTGATAGGGAGATGTGCTGATTAGTTTTTGACAAAGGCAGGTCCAGCCATTACGGAGATATGGAGCAAAGAGTGCAGAAAATACAAATCGAGTTGTTGAGAGAACGGAAAAAATATTACATCTTTTTTTATTTTCCATAAAATATTTTTGTAATTTGGTTTAGATATTCAAAAAATGACCCCAGGCTAAGAACAGTCTAAACGCCACTCTGGTACAAATGTTTATAGAAGTGCGTTTAGACTGTTTGTGTACTGAAGAACCTTTCCAATTCTGTGAAAACTATTGAAAAATGTGAAAATGCCGCCGAGCTAAGCACAGTATAAGTGAAAATGTCGCACAGAATGTATAGAAATTTTAATTTGCTCGTCAGTAGAGTCCCTTTTTGCTATTAACATTATAATTTGTACGTCAATAGAGTCCATTTTTATACTAAAATTTTAAATTTACTCGTTAGTAGAGTCCCTTCTTGTACTTAAAAATTAATTTGCTCATCAGTAAAGTTCTTTAGTGTATTGATATTTTAATACGCTCGTCAGTAGAGTTCCTTTTCTAATATACTCGTCGGTAGAATCCCTTTTTGTAATGACATTTTAAATTTGCTCATCAGTGGAGTTCCTTTATTTTATTGACACTTTAATTTGCTTGTTAGTAGAGTCCCTTTTTTTATATTTTCGTTAGTCAAATCTCTATTTGTTTCGACATTTCAATATGCTCATCAGTAAATTCCTTTTATTTATTTTATTTTCCATAAAATATTTTTGTAATTTTGGATTAAAAATTCAAAAAATTACCCAGGCTAAGCACAGTCTAAGCGCCACTCTGGTACAAATGTTTACCCGAGTGCGTTCAGACTGTTTACGTACTGGAGCACTTTTCCAATTCGAATTTTGTGAAAACTATTGAAAAATGTGAAAATGCCGCCAAGCTAAGCACAGTAAAAGTGAAAATGTCGCACAGAATTATTTGCAAATGCGTTTAGACTGTGACTATACAGGAGCACCTTTTCAATTTTGTGAGAAAACTATTGAAAAATGCGAAAATGCCGCCAAGCTAAGCACAGTATAAGTGAAAATGTCGCACAGAATTATTTGCAAATGCGTTTAGACTGTGACTATACGGGAGCATTTTGTGTAAATTAGGCAACAATTTTTTTTTTTTGAAATTGAATTCGAAATGAAATGACGATTGGGAGATAAATTGATTTATTTAAAAATAATGAAATATTCTCGAATATTTCATTACGGTACGGGAAGTTCTAGCAATTTGCCTTAAGGCACGATGCCATACACCCAACTAGTAAAACTTTTCAACACTGATTTATTTTGCCAAAAAAAATCTGTATTCATGATTGAAGATTTCCAAAATCGAACTTTTTCACAAGAATCCATTTTTATAGTAACCATAAATTATACTATTTTTTCATTAAATTTGTAATTTTTATATATTTTAAAAACTTACTTCCTTCTTTGGTATAAGTTTTACAATATTTAGACACTTTAACAGATCCAACAAATTGCACTAAAACAATTATTAAAATTGTTGCTAAAACTAGCTTCATTTCTCCAAATTTCTTATTTTATTTTTCAAACTTTCAAATAAAAAAATCGATTTAGGTAAAGTTAATTTTTGATTTTTGTTTAAAATCTGCACATTTATATATACATCTAAATGATTTTTTATTTATTTATTTATATTTGTTACTAAATTTGATTTCAAAAAATGCATAATAAAGTAATATTTTTTTTGTAATATAAAATTTGCGATTTTATAATAGATTTATTGCTATTTATTTATTTATCAGGCAAGATTTTTTTCTTGTTGCAATTTGAGATTGAAAAATGTAATTTAATAATTTTTTCTGTTTATTTATTAAGCAACTATTTTTTTCTTGCTTTTTTTATGAAATTGAATTCGAAATGAAATGACGATTGTTAATGTTCTCAGATATAACAAGATAATGCAAAAATAATTAACGTTACAGTATTTGTTATTAACGTTTAAAATTTCTCGAATATTTCATTACGGTACGGGAAGTTCGAGCAATTTGCCTTAAGGCACGATGCCATACACCACTAGTTTCTTACTATGTAATAATAGCATAATAAAAACTTACCAGTCCCATTATAGCTCCAACAATGATCGTGGTTACCGCGAATAAAACGTATGAGCCCCATGTTGGAATTCCGTACGTTTCCATCAACTCGGTGTGAAGACCCTTGTAATAGACAAATGTAATTTTATATATATATATATATATATATATATATATATATATATTGTATGATTCTGAATTTGATGTTGACATATGTATTAACAAAGTCTAATAATCAGGCATAACATCAATAAAAAACATGAATTTCCTTCAAAAATTTATTTTAAATCCATACGTTTCGGCTATAATCCTAGCCTTCATTCAGTGGAAACTAAAAATAAAACTAGCTGTAAGTGGAATTCTGTCTTAAGGCAATTAGGACATCGTGCCTTAAGGCAAATTGCTGGAACTTCCCGTACCAAAAATTATTTTTTTTAAAAACGATTACCATTTTTGAAAAAAATGTACTTTGAAAAAGTAAGATTTTTGAGAAACTATATATATGGACAAAAAATTACTTTTTTTTGAAAAAAAAAATTTAAAAAAAAAAGAATATTTTTTATTTTTTTTTTTTTAAAAAAATTTTTTTTCTTTATTTTGACATATTGTGGAAGATCTGAACTTTTTTTTTTCAAAGCAATCGTACTGATTTAACTGCATAGGGACAAAATATAAAGCGCGTAAGCGCCGCGTCGCTGTCTAACGCATAAGCATTGGTACGGAACCCATAGGAATGTTAACAAAATGTATACTTATTGTTAAAATCTCTATAAAATATCTGATAATTTGATGTGCATATGTCTAATGATCATTTTTGACCGCCAAATGGCTCATTTCTTTACTTTTTCCTCCATATCTCCGAAACCGCTAGACCTACCTTTATGAAAATTTTATCAATTCTTCATCTTGTCAATACAAATAAAATGTTTTTTGAATTATTCAAATCGGACGCTCCGTTCTCTTAAAAACTGAGTTACCGTTTTCGGCACTTTTTGCCCCGTATCTTCGGAACGGCCAGACCTGCCTTCGCCAAAAACTAATCAGCACGTCTCCTTATCAATACGAATCGAATGTTTATTGAATTATTCAAATCGGTTGATCCGTGTTCCCGAAATCGTCGACGAAAATTTGTATCCGCACATACATACATACACACACACACACGCATACATCCATTTTTTCTAAGGTATGCCAAAATATTCAGAAACCTTTGAAACGTAAAGATATATAAAAATTTTCATTTTCGATTTTTTTGCGATTACTATAAATTGCCCTACGGGAAGTTAATTAAAAACTAAAACAATTGAATTGGAGTGAAAATAAAAAATAAAATGGTTCTTCAACCAGTCTACGAATAACACACTATCCATTTGTGATTTTTTCAAATCGGTATTTTGTGAAAATATTGTGTAATTTCAAGTTAATGTTTATAATACATAGTGTAGTGCATTACCATATCCTAATACGATTGGATTATTAAAATTTTCCAATTTAACACTAAGATCTACTAATTGTAAGTATTTTTTACTATTTTATTTTTTCTTTTCACTCTAATTCAATTGTTTTAGTTTTTAATTTTATTTCTTAGTTTCCACTGAATGAAGGCTAGGATTATAGCCGAAACGTATGGATTTTAAATAAATTTTTGAAAGAAATTCATGTTTTTTATTGATGTTATGCCCGATTATTAGACTTTGTTAATATATATATATATATATATATATATATATTGCTATTATTTACCTTCAAGATTTGTGACAATTTAAAGAAATTGGCGACAATCCCCATCTGAAATGATGTGGGCGACTTCCATGATGGCAAAGGTTCGGTTTGCTGCCACTTGGCATCTTCAATGTATGAAATGAGCGACGATTTGTCTCGGGCACCTTTGTATTGTCTAAATTCACCTTCTTTGACACTAAAATAAAATTGTCAATACTTTAATACTGTCGATTTGCATCGACAATTTTTAACGTATTTTATTGAAAGATGCAAAGAAATTACATATTTCCTTAAATATATTGAAAACAAAACACAATTATATTTGTATCTGTATTATTTCTGCTTAGTTAATAATTAAAATTAGTATGGACACCAATAGGTATAAAAAAGCTCAAGATTTTTGTTTCTAGTACATTTTGCTTCCATTTTTCATATTTGCTCCATTTCCGTAAATCTAACCACGTATGTCTTCAATGTTCAAAGTTCATCAGATGCGAAACATTTTCAACAAAAACAAAAGTTACTATTCAGTTTCTCATGCTTTTCTATTATAATTTGTTCTATTATAACTTTTTCTATTATATATTTTTTTTAACAAGTTTTGTTCAAACTAAATCAGCTCGTAGTTTTTCGTCAATAATGCCCAATAATTTAATCTTTCGTAGGTTTGCGCTTACAGGTTTGAACACTAGATAATTTCTTCTTCCAATCCACATTAACTTAATACAAGAAGAATTTAATAAGTACATTAAATAATAAGCAGAACAATAATTTACTAATTATGCAGAGTAATAAATTGTTTCTACTGATATCATATTGCAAACTGAATATGCTTTTTCTGTCTACGTCTGTATTAAGTTAGATTGTATATTATAATCTATTAAGCTTAATAGTATTCTAAATTTTATAATAAAAAAAATGTGAATAATATATTATAAATTTAATTTCCGAAACTCGTTTTGGTGCCCCCTAAAGCTTGCGCCCGCATTTTTTGCATGCATCGCATGCAAGGCAGGACCGGCCCTGTATATATATATATATATATATATATATAGTACAAATAGTATTTCCAAAACTTGTTAACAAATAGCATCGGCATTCCTTTGTCACTTATTCATAGTCTAAGTATGATTTATATATTATCTATTTACAACAGTTATTTCAACAATTTTGTATGCAAATTCTTAAAATTATGGCAACAAAATTTTATTATGCTACAAATGTAAAGTTTAAAATTTTCCAAATAATAAAATTGTTTTCTACTTACTGATAAATTGTAGGCAATGCTGTCACGATGAAGCGTCCACTGAGCCCTGGAGAAGTCGTGATATCAACCTAAAATTATAAATTATGATTATAAAATATTGTTAACTTATTATTAACTATTATATATATATATATATAATAAAACTGAGACAAATACCTGTCCAACTTTAATATTCAGATCTTCACTCCAAGCCGAGAAAGACTTCCATGTGGGCTCGAGGCTTTTACAAGCGGGACACCATGGGGCAAAACTAAAAGCAAAAATATTCACTTAATTTATAATAATAACTGATAGATCTTCTCAAATAATTACTTATAACACAATTATGAAAGAAATTCAATTGCAAGATTTAAAGAATGACAAAATGTCTACGAATTTAATAAAAAAAATGCATAGTTGTTTAGAAAAACATTCAGAAATAGGTCAAAATTGTCTTTCCGAAATGTTTATATATTATAATTGATATTGCTAAAATTTAAAAATTGTTTCGTAATGTGAATGAATTAAAATGTAGAAAACCTTAAACCCTATGTATCATTTGATACTGATAAAATTCTTCATAATCAACAAATTTACATCAAATGCTTAAAAAAAAGATTTTTAGATTTAATTTTTCTGATCACAACTAAATCTTACATAAAAATATAACAGTTAATTTTCCTACAATATTGACTAATATTATATCACTCTACAGCAACTCAGTACACTTTGAAAATAGAAATTGTTCTTGTAAAATTGTTCTCGGTACTATATTGTTAAAGAGCTCGTCGAGACCTTTCAAATGATACCCCACACGACATATCTGACGCGAAACGTTTCGACCCTTCATTTGACCCATCGTATTGGTGCATTTATTTACTAAAGAACTTGTAATTTCTAAACAGTATGTCTGATTTCAATGCAATTTTCGACAAATTTGTTTATAATTAAATTATCTACAATATTGTCTAACATCATAATGTTCTACAGCAACTCGGTATACTTAAAAATCGCAATTGAAAAAGTCTTGCAAAATTATTTCATGAGTGTTAAAAGTGCATTTTATATGAAAATGATGCAGAAATGCTGAAAATTATGCAGAAATGTTGAAAATGATGCAAAAATGTTGAAAATGATACATAAATTGTTGAAATTAATTGAATAAGTTGAAAACAAAACGTTAAAAATGATGCAAAAATGTTGAAAATTGACGAACTTGTGAAATATATCTTACATAAAAATATCACAATGATATTTATTTATTTATTTAATAAAACGCATTATTTAGAGTAAATTTGTAAATTTTAAAAGACTTGTATATATCTATAATTTATCTAATTTATAAAAGTCTTCATTGTATGCATCATTATTTGTCTATTTAGAATAATTTACAAATGCAATTGATAAGATCAAAGCAAAAACATTGGAAATTTATTGTGTAACTTACTTAAAAATAATAAATAAATATATAATATAATAAATAAATTGATAATAATAATAAGAACAATTACTAAATACTTACCTAAAATTAAATAATGAAATGAAATTGAACAAAAACGGCCAAATGCCATACACCACTAGTTTATTGATTTATTATTTACTAATTAAATAATATAGTACTTATTCAAAATCTGAAAAAAAGCTGTTGCTTGTTCTATGTTGATTTACTGTCGTGTATTTTGTGCAACTGTGAAAATAGCAGATTTTTATTCCGTTCAATGCAAAATTCTGTTTCCTTTAAAATATATGTTTGAAAGTGGATGCTTTTTGTTATGACAGAAACTAGCATATCCTTTGATACAAGAATTGAACTCATTGTCAGAAGATATCTTTTTATAAAACGAAGGATGTAAATATAGCTTTCTAGTAAAATAATTAAAAATGGACCAAGGTCTCAATTATCCCTTTCATTGCCTAGAATGAACTTTAAATAATCTAAATTAACTTTAGAATACTATAACTACTGTTTATCAATGATGTTTGCTTTCTGCTCTTTCAAATTCACAAACTATTAAAATGACCTAACCTTATTGACTTGAGCTCGGATGAATAAGTTTTGATAAAACAAAAGCCTAGAATAATCTATAACGCTCCAAATCTTTAATAAATCATTTAGCCCAATAAATTATTAAAACAACTCCCTGTCCAACATAAATTTCAGCTAATTTAGAAGCAAACGCAAGGAAACTTTAAAATGACCTAACCTTCTTGACTAGAGCTCGAATGAATAAGCTTTGATATAACAAAAGCCTAAAAAAATGTATTACGTTCCAAATCTTTATACAATCACTTAGCTCGATAAATTAACGTCCAACATTAATTTTAGTTTATTAATTCAGAAGCAAACGGAAGGGAGCTATTAAAATGACCTAACCTTATTGACTCGAGCTCGAATGAATAAGTTTTGATACAACAAAATCAATCACGCTGCAAATCTTTATACAATAATTTAGCCCGATGAATTATTAATATCCAATATTAATTTCAAATTATAAATTCAGAAGTAAACGGAATGGAACTACAAAAATTACCCAACCTTATTGACTAGAGCTCGGATGAATAAGCCACTTAAATAACCTAACCTTACTTACTAATTATGACAAGTCAAGACAAGACAAAAGCCTGAAATATTATTATATTAATTATTCTTACTTATCACTAAATTATATACTAAATATCACTTACAATTCGACCATCCATTCCCCCTCGAGCATCAATCTCCAATTGTCCTCTGTCAATTCAACGACAGCACTTTTGGCGAACACCTGCGGTAATTTTGGTAAAAGCGTAACACAAACACACAAAAGGACTAGACTTAATAATTTGTTATCCATTTCTTACTTAAATAGTAACATTAACTAATAAATAACATACATCTAATCTAATCGTTACAATAGAAAAAAGACGTCAAAAATTTTCACTCGAGCCGAAAACAAATGATTGAAAGCGAACTGTAACTGAAGTGAAGTGAACGTCGAGTGAAGTCTCGTCGACGATGGCGGTGTTGCCAGAGGAAGAAATTGACACATAAATAATAGATAGATATGAAGTTAGTTACGCATTTTTAAATTTAATTTAATTTTAAATATTAAACTTAGTATTTGATTATTTAAATATTATTATTATTGAAATTGAATTATATATTTTGGTTTAATATAAGTAGAACGAGTTGATGTAATTATTTTATTGTAGCACATTTTTGCATTGCACGAAATATGCACAAACCGCTACTTTGACAGTTGCACAATATACACAAACAGTTTTTTTTCCAGATTTAATATAATATTTAATAGAATAATATTAATATTTAATATTAATAACCTATAATATTTAATTAATTATATAAAATATACTAGTTCCTTTTAATGTTATTTGTTTCGCTGCCGACAAGAAAGAATTCATTTTACAAAGTTTTACATTAAAATGGCGGAGAAAACGACACTAACAGTAATGGCGCAATATTTAAATTACAAAGTTCATATTGCATTACATATAAGGTCACAACATATGAAATTTAGCAATATAATTTCATCCAATTTTATTTACGTTTGTTCATTTTTTAACTTCCCGTAGGGTAAGTTATAGTAATCGTCCAAAAATCGGAATTGAAAATTTTTACATTTCTCGACGTTTTGAAGGTTTCTGAACATTTTGGCATACTTCAGAAAAAATGGATGTGTGTGTGTGTGTGTGTGTGTGTGTGTGTGTGTGTGTTTTGTATGTCCGCGTTTTTTCGTCCACGTTTTCGGGCGCACGGATCAACCGATTTGAATAGTTTAAAAAACATTCGATTCCTATTGATAGGGAGATGTGCTGATTAGTTTTTGGCAAAGGCAGGTCCAGCCGTTACGGAGATATGGAGCAAAGAGTGCAAAAAATAGAAAGCGAGTTTTTAAGAGAACCGATCAACCGATTTGAATGGTTTAAAAAACATTCGATTCCTATTGATAGGGAGATGTGCTGATTAGTTTTTGGCAAAGGTAGGCCCAGAGGTTTCGGAGATACAGAGCTAAATTTAAAAAAAATTGCTGTTTTTGAGAGAACTAAGCGTCCGATTTAAATGATTCAAAGAACTTTCTGCTTTTTTCAACAAAATAATTGATTTTGGAAAAAAAAATTTTGTTTCTAATTTTTTTTTCAAAAAAATTTTTTTGTAATTTTGGATTAAAAATTCAAAAAATCACCCAAGCTAAGAACAGTCTAAGCGCCACTCTGGTACAAATGTTTACCCAAGTGCGTTTAGACTGTTTGAGTACTGGAGCACTTTTCCAATTTTGTGAAAATTATTGAAAAATGTGAAAATGCCGCCAAGCTGAGCACAGTATAAGTGAAAATGTCGCACAGAATTATTTGCAAATGCCTTTAGACTGTGACTATGCGGGAGCACTTTTTCAATTTTGTGTAAATTTGGCAACTATTTTTTTTTTTGGAATTTGATTCGAAATGAAATGACGATTGTTAATGTTCTGGAGATGATAAATTGATTTATTTATAATTAATTTTCCATAGGGTAAGTAATCGCAAAAAAATAGAAAATGAAAATTTTTATATATCTTCACGTTTCAGAGGTTTCTGAATATGTTGGCATACCTTGGAGAAAATTGATGTATGTGTGTGTGTATGTGCGTGCATGTGTGTGTGTTCGGATACAAATTTTCGTCGACGATTTCGGGAACACGGATGAAGCAATTTGAATAATTCAAAAAACATTCTAGCCGTTCCGGAGATACGGGGCAAAAAGTGCCAAAAACGGTAACTCAGTTTTTAAGAGAACGGAGCGTCCGATTTGTATAGTTCAAAAAACATTTTACTTGTATTAACAAGATGAAGATTTGATCAAATTTTCATGAAGATAGGTCTAGCGGTTTCGGAGATCTAGTAAAAAAAACTAAAAAAAAAAATTTGGCGGTCAACAATAATCATTAGACATTAGACATATGCATATCAAATGATCAGATATTTTATTGAGATTTTAACAATAAGTTTAAGTTTTGTTTACATTCCTATGGGTTCCGTACTATTGTTTTTCCGTTAGACAGCGACGCGGCGCTTACGCGCTTCTATATTTCGTCTCTATGCAGTTAAAGCAGTACGATTGCTTTGAAAAAAAGTTCAGATCTTCCAAAATATATCAAAATGAAGATAACATTTTTTCCAAAAAAAAATTTTTATAAAAAAAATTGTTTAAAATTTTTTTTAAAAAAAAATTTTTTTTTTAAAAAAGAGTAATTTTTTGTCCGATTTAAAATTTCTAAAAAATCTTATTTTTTCGAAGTAAAATTTTTTCAAAAATGTTAATCGTTTTTAAAAAAATAATAATTTTTGGCACGGGAAGTTCCAGCAATTTGCCTTAAGGCACGATGCCTTAATTGCCTTAAGACAGAATTCCACTTACAGCTAGTTAAATTTACTTTTATCCCAAAAATTAGGTTTTTTTTTGGCATTAAAATATTATAATATTATATTAAAATATTTATAGCCATTTTTGATATTTGAATATCAAAAATTATTTGTTTTGTATTCTAATTAATTAATTATTTTGTACTCTATTTTATTTATATTTATGTTATTGTTAATTCATATTACTAGATGTTATATTATTTAACAGTTGTAACAAATATTGAAATTTATATAAAATTTTTTTGATAATAAACCATGCTTTGCTCATAAACTGTGACTACAAATGATATTTGAACTAGCTATAAGTGGAATTCTGTCTTAAGGCAATTAGGGCATCGTGCCTTAAGGCAAATTGCTGGAACTTCCCGTACCGCAATTCAAAATTCGAGTAATTAAAAATAATCAATAATAATAATCAATAAAAGTTGATCAATGATTTGAAACTTTTAATAGCATTTCGAACCATATCAAATCATTCTATTTTAAATCATTTATTTGGAACTATTTTGGAAATTCTGAACTTTTTTCAAAGCAATCGTACTGCTTTAACTGCATAAAGACAAAATAACGAAGCGCGTAAGCGCCGCGTTGTCGTCTAACGCGTAAACATTGATACGGAACCCATAGAAATTTAAACAAAATTTATACTTATTGTTAAAATCTCTATAAAACATCTGATAATTTGATGTGCATATGTCTAATGGTCATTTTTGACCGCCAAATGGCTCATTTTTTTACTTTTTCCTCCATATCTCCAAAGTCTTTGGACCCGCCTTTCTAAAAATTTGAACAGTTCTTCATTTAGTCAATACAAGTAAAATGTGTTTTGAATTATTCGAATCGGACGCTCCGATCTCTTAAAAACTGAGTTACAGTTTTTGGCACTTTTTGCCCCATATCTTCTGAACGGCTAGACGTGCCTTCGCCAAAAACTAATCAGCACGTCTCCTTACCAATACGAATCGAATGTTTTTTGAAATATTCAAATCGCTTCATCCGTGTTCCCGAAATCGTCGATGAAAATTTGTATCCGAACACACATACACACACGCACACATACATCCATTTTTTCTATGGTATGCCAAAACGTTCAGAAGGTATTGAAACGTAAAGATCTATAAAAATTTTCATTTTCGATTTTTTGCGATTTCTGTAACTTAGCCTACGGGAAGTTAATACGGGAATAATTTACAGCCATTTTTGATATTTGAATATCAAATATTTTTATTTTGTATCTATCCTTTATTTTGTACTCTATTTGATTTATATTTATGTTATTGTTAATTAATATTGATAATTACTGGATTAATAAAAATTACTGGATGTTATATTATTTAACAGTTAAAAAAGAAAAAAGAAAAAAAATGATATTAAACCATGCTTAGCTAATAAACTGTGACTACAAATGATATTTGAAATAACTTTGTTTTTTACATAAATTATTTCAACAAGTCCATTTCAAGATCACAATAATATTCACACTTATTTTAATACTGTTCTATAATTTATTATAAAAGATTTACAAATACTCTCAATTTTATTTGCTGTAACAAGTCTGATCACTTTACCATTTATCAACCATAAATATAAAAGTATTTTGCAAATTAAACTTATAAACATCAATTTTAAGACATGAAAAAATACAAAACAGCATTTTGTGATACTTTTTATATATAGAATATCGTTCAGAGAGAACTAAGCATCCGATTTGAATGATTCAAAAAACTTTATACTTGTTTTAACAAAATAATTAGTTTTGGAAACAAAATTTTGTTTCTCGAATATTTCATTACGGTACGGGAAGTTCCAGCAATTTGCCTTAAGGCACAATGCCATACACCACTAGTTACAATTAATTTTTGTTAATAATATTATACCTTGATCAATAACACGTTTATAAAATATTTAACAACAAAAATACATATTTTATAATTCATTCAATATCAAATTACTAAAACAAATATATATATAATTAAAATACACATTTAACTTTTTTTATCCGGCATGTGTAAAAATAATTACGTAGAATTTTATAAAATAAATTATGTATCATTATTAAATGATATAATGATAATTATTGAATTATCTTCATTGTTTATAACATTGCAAATTAATCTTCCTTCATTGCCAGCGTATAGACAGGAGCATACTCTAAATAGGATGAAATTGCATATAAATAATAATTATATGTATATATATACATATATTTATATATATATATATATATATATATATAATTATTATATTCAATTAAATTACTTACAATCAGCGATAACAGAACAATTGTCGATGCTGCTGCAAAAGCTGCATAGAAGAAAGATTTCTCCAAGCAAGTTATCTTGCGCTTTTCACGCTCTGTGGAAAGAAAATTTGCAAAAGTTAAGAATAAACTAGTGGTGTATGGCATCGTGCCTTAAGGCAAATTGCTGGAACTTTCCATACCGTAATGAAATATTCGAGAAATTTCAAATATATTATTACAAATACTCTGTAACTTTAATTATTTTTGCTATCTTTGTTATGTCTCAAATGCAAATAAAATGTAAATCATAAATCAATTTATCTCCAGAACATTTACAATCGTCATTTCATTTCAAATTCAATTTCAAAAAAAAAAATTTTAGTCTTAATTTGCTCGTCAGTAGAGTCCTATTTTTGTCTTTTAGGTCGGTATATAATTTGCTCGTTAGTAGAGTCCATTTTTATCACTTAGGCCAGTAGAGTTCTTTTTTTATTCTCTATGTCGATATTTCTTTGCTCGTCAGTGAAGTCCTTTTTGCCATCTATTTTTATATCCAATTTGCTTGTCAGTATGGTCCTTTTTACCTTTTATGACTATATTCAATTTGCTCGTCAGTAGAGTCCTTATTTTGTTTTCAAAGTTTTAATTATAATTTGGTCGTCAGTAGAGTCCTTTCTTCATCATCTATGATTAGATTTTAGTTGCTCGTCAGTAGAGTCCTTTTGCCATCTATTTTTGTAGTCAAATTGCTTGTCAGAAGAGTCCACACACACAAAACACACACACACATCCATTTGGTTTTTAGGTATGCCCCTTAAAAATGTTCAGAAACCTTCGAAACGTCGAGAAATGAAAAAATTATCGTTTTCGATTTTCGGCCCATTACTATAACTATCCTACGGAAAGTTAAAAAATAATTTTTTTTGAAGTAAAACTTCTTAGGTAAATAAATAAAATAAATATTTTTGATAAATTTTAGGTAAATAAATAAGTACAATTATTTTGGAAGTAAAACTTTTTAGGTTAGCAAATGAACAAATTTTATCGCAAATAAATAATAGTGAAAAAAAATATTTTTTTCAAGTAAAACTTCTTGACAATTCATTTCTGAATTAAAACTTCTTAGGTTGAAAATGTACAAATTTTATCGTAAATAAATAAGTAAAATAAATTTCAAATTTTGAAGTAAAACTTCTTAGGTTGGCAATGTATAAATTAGTGAAATAGAATTTTATTTTTGAAGTAAAACATCTTAAGTCGCGATGTGATATAGAGTCTGTTTTGATGCGCAAAAGAGACAACAGTATTAGGTGAGAAAATGAGAGAGAGATATAAAACACTAGTGCGAAAGAGAGCTACATATACCTGACAGTGTAGGAGTGACAGAGTAAGATATATGTGTACGACGCAACCTCCAAAATTTAACAACTACCTTTTTAAACGTAATTTATTGATAAAAGGACAAGAGATACCAATTTTTGTTGTTAACAAAAGTTGTAGATTATTTAATTGGCTATAAATTTGCTGAATATTGCAAAATGGTGGGACATTTCGTTTTGAAGTTATAAACAAATAAATACAAATCGAACCGGTCCAAAAGTATGAAGCAAGATATAGTGATGCAACCTCCAAAATTTAACAGCAACCTGTTTCATTGCAAATTTTGGGTGAAAGGATAAGAGATACAACATTATGTTATTAACAAAAGTTGTAGATAATTTAATTGGCTATAAATTTGCTGAATATTACAAAACACTCGGACAATTTGTTTAGAAGTTATAAATAAATAAATAAAAATCTAGCTGGTCCAAAAGTATAAAGTGGACGAAAAAATGTGGACATACAAAACACACACACATCCATTTAGTTTTTGATGTATGCCCCTTAAAAATGTTCAGAAACCTTCAGAACGTCGAGAAATGCAAAAATTTTCATTTTCGATTTTCGGCCCATTACTAGAACTACCCTACGGGAATATAATAAAAAGACTTACGCTCCTCTTCGGTCAATTCCAAAACATCCTTTTCCTCTTCACCGTCACCTTCACCTGCACCGCCACCGCCACCGCCGCCTTTTTTGCCGCTTGGACGGTCACCGCCATTGTCACCGCCATGGTCAGCACCGTCACCTGTTAAAATTAAATTCAAATAAATAATAAGAAGAAAATAAATTACAGAAAACTGAAATGTAAAGGCGCAAGGCACCTTTGAAACAGATGCAGAAAATTAATCATAAGCAATAAGAGAATATATATATATATATATATATATATATATATATATATATATATGTTTAATTTGAGTTTAATATTCGGGCGTAACATCAATAAAAATAGTGTGAGAGTTTTTGTAAAAAGTTTATTTATTTAAAATCCATACGTTTCGGCTAGCATCTTAGCCATCATTCAGTGGTAATCAAATTAACTATAAAAAATTGAAACTAAATAAATTATATGAACGGAAATTTCATGGAAAAACAATAATAATAATAATAGTAATAAAACACTTACAATTTTGTATCCTATTATAGCATATGAAACCATTATTAATCCATGGTATGAGTATGTGCACATTGATAAGATATATATTTTTTAACACAAACATCACAAATGGTAAAACACACTAATAACCATGAAACTGTTTCGACAGTGTGGCATTCTGTTGGTATGTAATTGTGATGCAACCCTTAGTTCAATTTTTACACAAATTAAATCTAAGTTCAATTTTGACCGCCTCAGGAATTTGGTATATCAGATTAATTGCTCTAATTGCGAACTCTTTTATATTGGAGAAACTAGCCAAAACCTGAGTAAACGCCTTAATCAACACAAAAATAATTCAAAAAATCCTAAGCAATTTAAAACAATGTTAACTGAGCATATTAAAAATTTAAATCATAATATCGATTTTTTTAACCCTAAAATTTTACATTTTGAAGAGAATACAATTAAAAGAAGATTCGCTGAGGGGTTGTTTTTGCAATTACATAACGACAGGGTCATTAACAAACGCTTCGACAATACCCTGAGGCCCTGAACGAAACAAACACGTGGTTTGTTAATAGCGTGTCAAAATTTCTTAAAAAATAACAAAATCCCATCGCCTTTTAAATTTCCCAAAAAATATCAACATATGCTAAAAACTGCCTTGAGAAAAATGTGACATTTCTATCCTAAATTCCGAAGAGTAAATACATAGTTTCGACAACTTGTTAAGTTATCATGATTATTAGTGTGTTTTACCATTTGTGATGTTTGTGTTAAAAAATACATATCTTATCAATGTGCACATACTCATACCATGGATTAATAATGGTTTCATATGCTATATTAGGATACAAAATTGTAAGTGTTTTATTATTATTGTCGTTTTTCCATGAAATTTTCTTACATATAATTTATTTAGTTTCAATTTTTATAGTTAATCTGATTACCACTGAATGACGGCTAAGATGCTAGCCGAAACGTATGGATTTTAAATAAATAAACTTTAAAAAAAAAAACTCTCATACTATTTTTATTGATGTTACGCCCGAATATTAAACTCAAAGTAAACATATATATATCAACATCAAATTCAAGACTATTGAAATATATATATATATATATATATATATATATATATATATATTGCATAATTTTACCATAATCAACTGGATATTCGCCCGTGTGATATATTGCTGGTTTCACTTTTGCAATAAGAGGTTTTCCTGAAGAGTACTCGTTTACCAAACTGTTTATCACACCGGCTACAAAAAAGAAAATTATTATATATATATATATATATATATATATATATATATTAATAAGAGTTATATTGGTATTTAGTTTTACCTCCTGGCAAATTCTGTAAAATCTCTTCCATCTTCTCTATTTCATCCAGATCGTCAAGAAGTTCTGGTTGGAAAAAGACTTTAGATTCTGCCTCAGGCCTGTCTGTGGCTTGACCAGTGTACACCATATTGGTCATCATCGGATCTGAAAATAAAACTAGTGGTGTATGGCATTGTGCCTTAAGGCAAATTGCTGGAACTTCCCGTACCGTAATGAAATATTCGAGAAATTTTAAACGTTAATATATTATTACAAATACTGTATCTTTCATTATTTTTGCTATCTTGTTTGTTATATCTGAGCAAATCAAATGTAAATCATAAACAAATCAATTTATCTCCAGAACATTAACAGTAGTCATTTCATTTCGAATTCAATTTCAAAAAAAAAAAATAGTTGCCTAATTTACACAAAATTGAATAAGTGCTCCCGTATAGACACAGTCTAAACGCATTTGTAAATAATTCTGTGTGACATTTTCACTTATACTGTGCTTAGCTTGGCGGCATTTTCACATTTTTCAATAGTTTTCGTTTTCACAAAATTTGAAAAGTGTTCCGAAACATAAACAGTCTAAACGCACTTGGGTAAACATATGTACCAGAGTGGCGCTTAGGCTGTGCTTAGTCTGGGTAATTTTTTGAATTTTTGATCCAAAATTGCAAAAATATTTTATGGAAAATAAAAAAAGATGTAATAATTTTTTATCCATTTGTGATACTGTCAAGAACTCTACTGATAAACAATCAGAAGGAAAAACACAAGATTTTACTGTAAATTTTAGGCAAGGAGATTAAAAAGGGAGTCTACTGACAAGCAATTTAATTTTTCACTTAGAAGACGAAAAAAGACTATACCGACGAGCAAATTGAATTTCGTAAAAAGAATCTGAAAAGAACTGACAAGCAATCTCAAATTAGATGTAGAATAAAAAAGGACTCTACTGACGAGCAAATTAAATTTCAATCTAAAAAATGAACAAGGGACTCTACTGACGAGCAAATAAGAAAGAGGACTCTACAGACAAGCAAAGAAGAAAAGGACTCTACTGACGAAAAAATTAAAATCAATCTAAAAAATGAATAAAGGACTCTACTGACAGGCAAATTATTATAAACATGAAAGATGAATAAAACAATATCCAATGTCAAAAAATATGAGAAACAAGAAAGTATGTAAATTTTTTAGATCATTCAAATCGGACATTTTCACTTAGTTCACTCAAAAACTGCTATTTTGTGCATATTTAGCTCTGTATCTTCGAAATGGCGGGACCTGTCTTTGCCAAAAACTAATCACCTCTTCTCCCAATCATTACAAATTGAATGTTTTTTAGATCATTCAAATCTGATGCTCCGTTCTCTCTAAAACTCGATTTGTATTTTCTGCACTCTTTGCTCCGTATCTCCGTAAAGGCTGGACCTGCCTTTGCCAAAAACTAATCAGCACATCTCCCTATCAATTGGAATCGAATGTTTTTTAAACCATTCAAATCGGTTGATCCGTGCGCCCGAAAACGTGACTGCAAATTTGTATCCATACATACATACATAAACACACACACATCCATTTTTTCTTAGGTATGCCAAAATGTTCAGAAACCTTCAAAACGTCGAGAAATGTAAAAATTTTCATTTTCGCTTTTCGGCCCATTACTATAACTACCCTACGGGAAGTTAATAAGATTTTTTTTTAAAAAAAAATGGAACTCTAACGACCATTTACCACTTTTTAAAAAAGAATTAAAAATGAATAGAAGGGACTCTACTGACGATCAAAATGAAATTGGAATAAATTGGACTCTGGTGGCAATTTGAAATTGAAAATTTGAAATTTGAAGTGTAAAATGAACTCTACTGACGAGCAAATTTAATTATTGATAAAATTTCATTGACTGACGAGCAATATAAAAAAAAATACAAAATAAGACCGATGAGCAGAAGAAAGGACTCTACCGACGAGCAAACTTAAAAAAAGACTACTGACAAACCATTATGGTTTAAAGAGAAAAAAGAAACTTTACTAATAAGCAAAAAAATTTTATATTAATACCAATTGTTATTTCATAGGGATTTGTTTTGTGTCAACATGAACTGGTTGCAAGTTGCAACTTCCAAATATGTGTAAATAATCGACAGACATAAACAGAAAATTCGAAAAACAGCGTTTTGTTATGGTATGCCTTAAAAATGTTCAGAAACCTTCAAAACGTCGAGAAATGTAAAAATTTCCATTTTCAATTTTCGGCCCATTACTAGATTTTTTAATAATTTGCTCGTCAGTAGAGTTCCTTTTTTATTATTTTCTAGATTTTTTAATATCTTGCTTGTCAGTAGAGTCTTTTTATGTTTTTAAAATTCTTATTTAATTTGCTCACCAGTAGAGTTCCTTTTTTTCTTAGATTATTTCATAATTTGCTTGTCAGTAGAGTTCCTTTTTTATTTTCTAGTTTATTTTATCATTTGCTTGTCAGTTACTTCCCTACGGGAAGTTAATACTACCAGATGTAAAATGAATCTAGCTATTAGGTTGTCAAATATCTCCCTTCCGCTTTTTTGCTCTTGGTTTATAATACAAAAAGGCGGAATGGAGATATTTGACAACCTAATATTTCGGCAAATTTGTACAATTTACCTTCTTCAGGAGACAGCAGAGGATCCACAAGATTCTCCAGCATCTGCATATCGACTCCAGATGACTGCTTCCTGTGAGTGTTGATGTGTCTCCATTTGCCCGATTTTAGGAGACGTCTCCGATTTCCAGGCCATCGTTTTCTCGGAGATTCCGAAGAACTCGACACAGGGATCATAATTGATCTCATCTCTTTGCCGGCGTTCACTAGGCTGCTCACCATGGCAGCTGGGTAAGAAAAAGATACGATACTAAATATAATATATAATATATAATATAATACTAAATTCTATTTCCGATATATAGAGTATCAATTCACTTACAGACTGTGAATTTTCTCTCGAGTCTCGAATAGCAAATGAAAGCCATCAGGAAGGTGCAGCATAACAGGATGACCAGGAGAAGTTCGGCAGCAATTGTTACAGCAAATAACTAGATGATGAAATATTAATAGTTACTGAGTATAAATTATATTATATATATATATATATATATATATATATATTAAATGGTAGAGTCTTGGATTTGTTTATATTTTGTAGAGTTTCGAACAAGAAACCAAAAGTAATAAAAAAACAAGAAAATTTTTCATTTGCTCGTCAGTAGAGTCCATTGTAACAACTAATATTTTGAAAATCTTGATTTGCTCGTCAGTAGAGTCCATTGTAACAAATAATATTCTGAAAATCTCGATTTGCTCGTCAGTAGACGAGCTTTTTTATCGTAAATTCCTAAAATATCCCGATTTGCTCGTCAGTAGAGTACAGATGGCATTATGGTTTATAATTTAAAATTTAAAATTAATAATATAATTAATTTATTTTATTTTTATATTAAATTCAATTGTAAAACTTAATACTCATATATATATAACTCAAGCTAATTGCTGTATTTATTATAAGAGCTATAATACAAAAAAATATGTTTTAATATATCAATCGATTAATAATAGTTCTTAATAAAATTAATACGAAAATATATATTAGATTTCAAATATATATTTCAGAAAGTAGTTACTTGCAGTTTGTATTTTTTTTTTAGTCTTAATAATTATTGCAACTGTTAAATTATTAACATCTAGTAATATTGATAAATAATAACATAAATTAAAATAAATAAGAGTGCAAAGGATTTGAAAAACAATTTCTTTCTTTATTTATTTATTTAATAATTAATTATTTAATAATTATTTCAAGGTAATTAATTCAATTTTGTCATAAACCATTTCTTAAAATTTTCCATAACTTTCAAAAAAAAAATTCTATCATTTTTAATATCTTGTAAGATAATCCACTCATTTATTTTTATCATTTTCATTTTGATCATATTATCATATTTCTGTACATTATTATTTGTTGCAATTAATTTATTATTTAAGAAAAATCCATTTTCTTTTTTTAAACATATTGTTTGCTTAAGTCTCATCAAGATCATGTTTCTTGACAGATGTCCTGAAGATGGAACGTACCTAGTTCCGAAACGTCGACAGTAAATAAATAAATAAATAAAGAAATTGTTTTTCAAAAAACTTTTTGTTTTTTATTACTATATATATATATATATATATATATATAAATGATTTAGTAGCTATTCTTATGAATATGTAAGGGAAAAAAGTTATTCTTAAAAATTTGGAAAAAGAGACTCTACTGACGAGCAAACTCATTTCAAACGGCTTTATTATAAATTTGCAAGAAAAAAGGGTCTCTACTGACGAGCAAACTCATTTCCAACGCCATTCTCATAAATTTCAAAGGAAAAAAAGGGACTCTATTGACGAGCAATCTCATTTCCAACGTCATTCTCATAAATTTGCAGAAAAAGGGACTCTACTGACGAGCAAACTCATTTCAAACGACTTTGTTGCAAATTTTCAAGAAAAAAGAGACTACTGACGAGCAAACTGATTTCCGACGTCATTCTCATAAATTTGCAAGAAAAAAGGGACTCTACTGACGAGCAAACTCATTTCAAACGGCTTTATTATAAATTTGCAAGAAAAAAGGGTCTCTACTGACGAACAAACTCATTTCCAACGACTTTGTTGCAAATTTTCAAGAAAAAAGAGACTACTGACGAGCAAACTGATTTCCGACGTCATTCTCATAAATTTGCAAGAAAAACGGGACTCTACTGACAAGCAAACTCATTTCCAACGTCATTCTCATAAATTTGCAGAAAAAAGGGACTCTACTGACGAACAAACTCATTTCCGACGGCTTTGGCAAGAAAAAAGGGACTCTACTAACGAGCAAACTAATTTCCAACAGCTTTGTTACAAATTTGCAGAAAAAAAGGGACTCTACTGACGAGCAAACTCATATCCAACGTTATTCTCATAAATTTGCAAGGAAAAAAGGGAGCGGTTTCATTTCAAGATATAATTAATTAGTAATAAATGACCCACTAGCGCCATATATATATATAATTATTCTTTTACACAAATTTAGTGTTCAATAAATTTGATATTATTATTTTTTTCTGTTGTTTTTCCTGGTTTGCTATATATAGCAAATATATTTATATATTTATATATTTTTATATATTTATATATTTATATTCAATAACAACTTTAGTATTTATGTAATATGTTTTTTAGATTACTAAATGATGACACACATCAAGTGTCGAAATGTTTAATGGAGTAAATAATTTTTCTATTTAATGTTTTTCTTAATTCGACGATTTGGCCGCAAAAATATTTCAAATATATACATATATATATATATATATATATATATATATATATAAATAAAATGTATACTTACAACAACTCTAACAGTTTTTGTATAAGTTATATGACGTCTGCTGTTTGCATAAACTCCGTACGCCAAATTTGCAAATCCTACAACCATCACGTAAATGCAGACAAAGGATATGAAAAATTTTGTTCTTTCGAAACTGAAATGAAAAAAAAAATAGATATAAAATATTTGTATATGCAGTATATAATATTTCATTTCTAAAGTATTGTAAGTTTTATATGAGATTCATAATTTAAGAGTACGTTGGACATCAATAAAGTCTGTTGTCTGAAATATTACACATGATGAAAAACAGATCAACTTTAATAAACAGTCCCTCGCAGAATTAACATTTAACACTTGCATATTTGCATATTTTGTTTATTTAGCTTTTTAATACTTAAACACATCTTCTAGAAAGATTTCTTCATTTAACTAAAGATTTTTGGTCAGATTAATGAATTAAATTAATAAATCTTTTCAAGTTAACATGTCCCCTGCAAAGATCAGTGTGCTTTTGGATATAAATTGCAAGTTAAAGTGTTTACTATGACATTATTAATTATTACCCTATCCAGGGTTGTCCATAGAGCACCAGCATTCGACTGAAGTGAACCAGACTGCATAGACATGTAAAGAAACTGAGCATCGAGAAAGTTATAATAAGTCCTGCGATGACACCACCGGCCACTGGTATTTGTCCAAAACATGTATCCACTAAGAAAATAATAAGAATGTAATTAAATAGAAAATGTACGATAAATCAACAATATATAATAATCTATATATATTATAGTACTAGCAAACCCAACGAACTCCGTTTCGCCACCAGATGGTTTCGTGAGAAAGATGAAGAAATTTTTTTGTTTGTTTTATATTTGAAAAGGAAACATTTGATTTTTTTACACGACTGTAATGAATTTATTTCGATTGCAAAAATGAAGTGTTTTTTAGTTGAACTTCTCTAAGTAAATGAAAGTGAATCCGCAAATTATCCGTTTCATTGAAGTGATCTTTGGTGAACCACATTTTTTGTTTTTTGGTCTGACGTTAGCACAAACAAAGCGGATGGTTGTCCAACTCGTGAACAGGCAACGTATAACTGCCCATGTGAAAAACAATGATTTTTTAAATAATCTATTTGAAATTTATCCCGCAAACACTAAGCGATTGGCCTTGCGACTTGTTACTGCGAACTGGAAATTGCAATCGTTTGAAGTCAAACGGAAAACCAGTCGGAATCATTGGTATGTCACCAAATTGTCAGCAATTTTTGATTGAATGATGAAATTCAGTGCGTGTACATCATTATCCTTGGCGGCAAGAATTGCTCGTTGATTTAACCAAGCATAATTCTGATAATTCTCATTAATGTCATTACTCGAATTTTTAATTACGGTGCGTGAAGTTCCAGCAGCTTACATTAAGGTACGATGCCATGCACAACTAATTTTTTTTAGCTATAAACCTTGCGGAGCCCGAGACCTTTCCAACGAATACAAAATTGTCGAAATCGGTTTGTGCGTTCTGGAGTTACATCGTCAGGAAGGAAAACCCGACTTATTTTTATAAGTTATAGTAATCGCAAAAAAATCGAAAATGAAAATTTTTATATGTTTTTACGTTTCATAACCTTCTGAACATTTTGGCATACCTTGGAAAAGATAGATGTATGTGTGTGTGCGTGTGTGTATGTTGAATGAATTTTCGTGGACGATTTCGGGAACACGGATGAAGCGATTTGAATAATTCAAAAACATTCGATTCGTATTGATAAGGAGACGTGGTGATTGGTATTTGGCAAAGGCAGGTCCAGCCGTTACGGAGATACGGAGCAAAGAGTGCAGAAAATACAAATCGAGTTTTTGTATTTTCATCCGATTTGTATGATCCAAAAAACATTCAGTTCGTAATGACGGGGAAAAGTGGTTATTAGTTTTTGCAAAGGTAGGCCCAGCGGTTTTGGAGATACAGAGCTAAATGTTAAAAAAATGGCAGTTTTTCAGAGAACTAAGCGTCCGATTTGAATGAGTGAAAGAACTTTCTGCTTGTTTCAACAAAATAATTGCTTTTGGAAAAAAAAATTTGTTTGTAATTTTATTTTTCAAAAAATATTTTTGTAATTTTGGATTAAAAATTCAAAAAATTGCCCAGGCTAAGCACAGTCTAAGCTACAAACTGGTACAAATGTTTACCCAAGTGCGTTTAGACTGTGACTATACGGGAGCAATTTTTCAATTTTGTGCAAATTTGGCAACTTTTTTTTTTTTTTGAAATTGAATTCCAAATGAAATGACGATTGTTAATGTTCCGGAGATAAATTGATTTATGATTTACATTTGATTTGCTCACTCAGATATAACAAACAAGATAGCAAAAATAATTAAACTTACAGTATTTGTTATTAACGTTGAAAATTTCTCGAATATTTCATTACGGCACGGGAAGTTCCAGCAATTTGCCTCAAGGCAAGATGCCATACACCACTAGTTATATTTTAAAATTAAAACCACCATTTTGATCCCAAACTGTCCATTGTCAAATAACTTGTTAAAATTAAATAAAGCAAATTTAGACAATCAGACACTTAAGTAATCACTATTTTTTATTCTTTTGCACGTTTTAAAATATATTTTTAATAAGTATCAAACAAATATTTGCACACAAATGAATTAAATTCGTTAAAATAAACTTTTAATGTTGAACTGTCATTGAGTTACAAAAACCGTTAAATTTCAAATTGTTTAAATTTAAATCAGTTTAAATACTCACTTTTTCTTTAAATATTCTTGCACTGATTGTTTTATAAATAAATAAATATATATAGTATTTTTTATATAATAGATGTCATATAAATATATCACTTGTCATTAGAGAAATCTTATATTTTGTTTTAATTTCATAATTTTCAATAATGTCAATTAGTATTATTAATATAACTTAAAATAAAAAAATTTAATTAAATATTTAAAATTAATCTATTTTGGTCATTTCCTTACAAAGCAATATAAAACAAATATAAATTCAAATATGATACATACAAAGCAATCTTTCAAAAAGCATTCAAAGCTCAAATTATTTTCTACACACGTCTTATATATATTGGAATAAATAAATACAGAGCTTAAATTATTTTTGGTTTTATAAAAGCCTTAGAATTGTAAAAATTAGTTAACTAGTTTAAAAAACCCTATTTATATATATATATAAATTATTTTTTTAAATAGTATTAATTTTTTGTCTAAATTTCTTTAATCATTTAAAATTGGCTTAAATAGAGAAGTACGATTAAAACATAATTATAAATAATGATAAAAATCATATTTATTGATTAAATCAATTATTTTGTATAATAAAAACATAATCGTAGTTAACAGACAAATCTGTTAATCGACTAGTATGTAAATTAATTGATAAATTTGTAATTTACTTCATTTTTTAAACTTCTCTATTTACATCAATATTTAATTTTTATAACAATCGATAAATGATACAATATGCTAAAAAAATTTTTTTGTTAAATTTAGAAAAACGCAAATACAAAATTACATAAATTTTAATTAAACAAATCTAATTTTAATTTTGATTGATAAAACAACTAATTTTATAAATATAATTAATTAAATAATTGACAAATTTGAATATTATTAGTGCGTACAACTTTGCTTCCGCCGGTTTTACAATACGAATTCGTTACAATAACGGCGGAAGCAAAGTTGTACATTTATAATATCGATAATATATTTTCAATTAAGTTTTAGAGTATACCGAGTTGTTGTAGGACTAAATGATATTAGACAATATTGTCAATGATTTAATTTTAAACAAATTTGCCGAAGACATCGTTTAAATTAAACAAACGGTTTAGAAGTTCCAAGCGATAAAGTAAAAAATGCACTTGGTATACTAAAACTTCAAAATTTGTGTGTTTAAAAACTAGAGTACTTTATACTCAGATTTTTTGTTTCATTTCAATTGCAATTTTAAAGTATACCGAGTTCTATAGAGTCTTATGATGTTAGACAATATTATAGGCTATTTAATTCTGTACAAATTTGCCGAATATTTGATTAAAATCAGACAAACGGTTTCGGAGTTACAAGACTTTTAATAAATAAAAACACCGATGGGACAAATAAAGGGTCAAAACGTTTCGCGTCAAATATGTCGTGTGGGGTATCATTCAAAAGGTCTCAACGACCCCAATTCAAATATGACATTGACATTTTGAGAAAACCACTTGCGTTCCAAACAATAATATTGTACCCAAAATGTTAGTTTAATTTAAAGTGTTTAATTGCTAATTTAAAGTATACAGAGTTGCTGTAAATAATGCTAAACAATATTACAGATTATTTAATTTTGTACAAATTTTCCAAAGACACCATTCATTTTCCGAAATTATTTAAAAACTTATAAAAGATTTCGTTCAATACTCGGTTATTGATACGTGATATAGATTTATAGTTTTAATTGCGATTTTAAGGTATACATATTTGATGTAGGGTATTTTAATGTTAGACAATGTATAGACTGTTTAATTTTATACAAATTTGTCGAATATTGCATTTAAATCAGACGAATCGCTTAAGAGTTACAAGATATTTAATAAATAAATTCGCAGTTTGATGGGTGTAATAAGGTGTCAAAACGTTTCGCGTCAATTATGTCGTGTGGGGTATCATTTAAAAGGTCTCGACGAGCTCTATAACAATATAGTACTGAAAACAATTTTATAAGAACGATTTCTATTTTCAAAGTACACCGAATTGCTGTAGGGTTATATAATGTTAGACAATATTGTAGATAATTTAATTTTGAACAAATTTATCGAATATTGCATTTGAATCAGACGAATCGCTTAAGAGTTACAAGATATTTAATAAATAAATTCGCAGTTTGATGGGTGTAATAAGGTGTCAAAACGTTTCGCGTCAAATATGCCGTGTGGGGTATCATTTAAAAGGTTTCGACGAGCTCTATAAAAATATAGTACCGAGAACAATTTCTATTTTCAAAGTATTTCAAACAATTGAAAAACATTTAACAAATCTTAATCACGTCATTAAAACCATTTATGTTATAAATAGTAAAACCCAAAACAGTTTTTATCTTAAAAGCTGCACTTTCATAAAAATTCTGGTAAAAATTTAATACTAGTTAGTTAAACATTAAAATTGCTATAAATAATTTCACATTCAAGCTAAACCTATATCGAGGTAATATAATAATCAAGTTTTTTTACCTTATTCTAAATTGCTTACTACTTTTTTATTACTATCGTTCCTGACAGGACTTTCACCCAAAACGACTCGATTATGTTTAAACAGCTCCTTATTGAATTTAGGGCTTCCGATGTTTTCGATGTCCTCCGAAGGTGTCTTAGGTATTGTGATTTTCTTTTCCTTTTTGCTTGTTAAGGGAGTTTTGCATTTATTGATGTTAATGGGCGAGGAATCTCTTGAAGAATTTCCAAGAATGTCTGGTTTTTTGCATCGTAACTTTTCCACTTCTGCTTTGAGACGCTGGATTTGCATTTGGAGTTGAAAGTTTTCCTAAAAATATAAAAGAATTGTGATATATATTTTTTTTTAAGTTAAATTATTCGAACTCACCTCTGTTAAATCTAAGTTTTGTTTCTTGACTTTAACAAAGTATTTTAATTTTTGTTTGTGGTTTTGGTGTCCCAAAAGTTCTGCATATTTCAATGCGATCTCTCTTGCATCTCCGGTGACTTTCTCGTTTCTGGCTTCGAATGCCAATCTTTCGTTTTCATAACTTTGCAGTTGTTCTCGGAAGGGACCAATTAGGCACATTGCATCTTCGATCTAGAAAATAATAAAAATCATAACATTAACTATATATATACTATATGACCCGGCAAACGTTGTTTTGCCATAGAAAATATTTCTAGTATAAAATGTTTGGTACGAAAATATCAAACTGATTGCAAATGTGGTGCATAAGTAAGAAGAGCATTTAACAAAAAATATATGAATAGTTTACCCACTGCAAAGCTCGCCACATATAAATGTCCCTTAATAATAATATGAAACTGATTCTATTTAAATTGAATTGGGTTTTAAGATATCTTACTATACCCTAATAGTAAGATATCACGTGTATTTATTTTTTACCTGCGGAAAGAGGGTGTAATTTAGGGGAAGGCTTGATAAAAAATCACGAAATATCACGTTTATCTGTTTTTATTTTTCTAAAAAAAATTCAAACATTTTCAAAAAAAAAAATCAAATATTTTATATTTTTTCTCGTAACTAAAAATATAGATGATGCTTGGGGAGAAGGAGGTGTATTTTAGGGGAGAGAGTGGTTGACAAAAAATCACAAAATATTACGTTTGACTTTTTTTAAAAAAAAACATTTTCAGATAAATTAAAAAAAATCTACATTTTTTTCTCGTAACTAAAAATACACATGATGTTTGGTAGTGAGGGGGTATAATAAAAGAAAGGGGGGTTGACAAAAAATCACAATATCACTTTTATCTGATTTTTTTTTTTTTAAAAAAAAAACAAACATTTTCAGATAAATTTTAAAAAATCTGCAATTTTTACTCGTAACTAAAAATACAGGTAATGTTTGGCGGGGATGGATGTATTTTAGGGGAAGGGGCAGGGTGTTGACAAAAAATCACGAAATATCACGTTTATCTGATTTTTTTTTTTATAATAAAATCAAACATTCTGATTTATTCTAAAAAACAACCATTTTTTTAAAAAAAAATTAAAAATTTTACATTTTTTTCTCGTAACTAAAAATACACGTGATATTTGGTGGGGACGGGTGTATTTTAGAGAAGGGAGAAGGGGGGTTGATAAAAAAATGGCAAAATATCCCTTTTATCTTTTTTTTTTAAAAAAAAACAAGCAGTTTCAAAAAAACCCCAAAATCTCACATTATTTCTCGTGGGGTGTTGACAAAAAATCACGAAATATCACGTTTGCCTTATTTATTCTACAAAAAAACAAACATTTTTTTTAAATTAAAAATTTTACATGTTTTTCTCGTAACTAAAACTTGAGGGGGCGGGTGAGTTTAAGGGAAGGGGGAAGGGCGGTTTATAAAAAAGTGAAATATTACGTTCATCTGATTTTTTATAAAAAAAAAACATCTTCAACAAAAAATCAAAAGTTTTACAATTTTTTCTCGTAACTAAAAATACACGTGATGTTTGGTGGGGGAGGGGGGGATGTTAATTTTAAATATTACTACGTATCACCAAGAGTGAGGGGAGGTCCAAAAGACCTTAAAAAATCGGTCACGTGATTAATGGACGACCCCCAAGGATTGTCCAACACTTACTCTTACTGTTCGTAAAAATTAATTTTAGTAAAGTTATACTTATAAAGCTAATCAGTAGAGTTCCTTTATTTTATTGACACTTTAATTTGCTTGTTAGTAGAGTCGTTTTTTTAATATTTTCGTCAGTATAGTCTTCATTTGTATCGACACTTCAATGTGCTCATCAGTAAAGTCCCTTTTATTTTTTTTATTTTCCATAAAATATTTTCGCAATTTTGGATTAAAAATTCAAAAAATCACGCAGGCTAAGCACAGTCTAAGCGCCACTCTGGTACAAATGTTTGCCCGAGTGCGTTTAGACTATTTACGTATTGGAGCACTTATCCAATTTTGTGAAAACTATTGAAAAATGTAAAAATGCCGCTAAGCTGAGCACAGTATGAGTGAAAATGTCGCACAGAATTGTTCGCAAAAGCGTTTAGACTGTGACTATACGGGAGCACTTTTTCAATTTTGTGCAAATTAGGCAACTATTTTTTTTTTGAAATTGTATTCGAAATGAAATGACGATTGTTAATGTTCCGGAGATAAATTGATTTATGATCTACATTTGATTTGCTCATAATCAGATATAAGAAACAAGATAGCAAAAATAATTAACCTTACAGTATTTGTTATTAACGTTTAAAATTTCTCGAATATTTCAATGCGGTACGGAAAGTTCCAGCAATTTGCCTCAAGGCACGATGCCATACACCACTAGTTATAATTATTATTATTACCTGAGCTTCCAAATCGATGATCCTCATCCGTTGCTCCTCAATTTTGTTCTGCAACTCGGTTTCCCTCTTCGCAGACGAGCACTCGATCTCCTCCAGCTCCTGCAGCTTCTCGTTCATGTTCTCTCGATAATCCTGGAAATCGTACTTGACATTTGTCAGTTCACATTCCAAATTATCGATAATAGCATCCTTCCCCTTCATCAGCACATCGTAACTCTCGATATCGTGTTTCAAATACTCGTTCTCCTCGACGTACAACTTGAGCTCCTTGATTTCATTCATGAGTAATAGGATTTGCTCGTCCTTTTCTTGTAGTAAATTTTCCTTTTCGTTGGTCCTGGCTTCTATATTGCACAAAACTTGATCGATGACTTTTAGGGTGTAGTATAAGTCGTCGAGTTGTTTTTGGGTGTCCTGCAATTGTTTTTTGTACAAGTCGTTTTCCTTGCATTTGGATTTCAACGTGTCGATTTTGGCGACCAGGTCTTGGTTCATGGTGTTGATTTTGCCTTCGGTGTCGTTTTGTAAGTGTTCGATGATTTTGATGAATTCTTGGCGTTGTGCTAAAACGTCGCTGTTTTCTAACAAAGTTCTGGATGATGTCGTGATGTTGGTTAAGGTGACTTGGTACTCGATCAACTTGCTTTGGAGTAAAGCCAAGTCGGCGCGGTAGTGTATATTTAATTTTTCTAGTTCGATGTTTGTTTTTGTTAATTTTTGTACTTGTTCTTTTAACTCCTCGACATCAGCATCTGATTTTTGTAAACGTGAACTCAAAATATCGATCGTGGCTTTCATGGTGTTGACGGTCAACTCGTACTTAAACAACTCGTTACAAGTTTCCAAGTGCTTGTCTTTAGACTGTTTTAAATCTTGCACGCACTTTTGTTTGTACTGATTAAACTCATCTTTTAAATTATTAAAACGCGTGAATATCAACGCGATTTCGCAACACTTATCAGCGACATTCTTCTCCAAAACTTGTTGCTTCAACCTCTCATTATCCAACTCCAATTTAATCCCGTTCAGCATCGATTGCAAATCGAGTTTCTCAAACTCCGACTGCATAATTTCGGTTTCAGCAATTTTTTGGCACTTTTCAAACTCACTTTGCCACATCGACTTCTCCTTATTGTACTCGTCTTTCAAAACTTTAAACTTTTCTTCAGCAGTCAACTCTGCCAATTGGACTTTTTCGACTGCAGTTTGCTGCACGAGATCCAACTCGTTCCTTAAATCTTGTTCAAGTTCTTTTAATTTATCAGAGTACTCACTGATTATCTGTTTTTTTTCAACCTCACGACAAGATTCTAGCTCACGTATTTTCATATCATGCTTTTCGTTCAAAAACTCGACTTTCGACATGCACTCGTTATTGAGGTCATCCAGCTTCTTTTTCTGGGCCAACAATTCGAACTGCAACTCTTCTACAAGTTTTTCCAAAGAAACCTTTTCTTGCTCGATGTAATCGCAATGGTCTTTGTACGTTTTGATGTTTTGGTTCAAACTTAACAAGGACTCTTCAACAGATTTTAAGTAACTATCAAAATCTTCATACAATTTGCTAAAATTACTATACAAATTTCCATCTTGGTCTTCTACGACATGTTGATCTTGCAATAAACGCCTGAATTTATGGTAAAGCACTTCGTACTCCTCCAGTTCCAACTCTCGTAGATCCTTCGAGCTCTTCAGATCATCCTTAATGGTTTCATTATCCTGTTTTAATAAATCCAACTGTTTTTTCAACAACAAAATCTCTTCTTTCTGTTCCTCGATCAACTTTTCATTTTCTGCAATGGTTTCATCTTTATTTTGTATTTCGATTCTGTTCGCCCATAAAATTTCTTTGGTTAAAGTTTCTTCGTCCTCGACTGTCGAAGAAGGCGGTGGCACCGGACTCGTTTTGGGTTTGATACGATTTAGGGAAAACTTTTTTAATTGTTTTCTTATACTTGGCTGAAATAGAAAAAAATTAATTGGCTTGAACCTAATGCAATATTTAAAAAAAAGTATTTAAAACAAAACGTGTATATATTTGAATTGAGCTCGTCGAGACCTTTTAAATGATACCCCACATGATATATTTGACGCGAAACGTTTCGACCCTTTATTTGACCCATCGTGGGTGCACTTGTTTATTAAAAGTTTTGTAACTTCTAAACCGTTTGTCTAATTTAAATGCAGTATTCGACAAATTTCTATAAAAATAAAAAATCTGCAATATTGTCTAATATCAGAATGCCCTGAAGCAACTCGACATACTGTAAAATCTTAATTGAAGGATGAAAAAATAAGCATTATACGGAACCCTATTGTTTTCTCAAGCTTGTCAATTTCATATTTGAATATAGTTTGTCGAGACCTTTCAAATGATACCCCACACAACATATTTGACGCAAAACGTTTTGACTCCTTATTACACCCATCAAACTGCGAATTTATTTATACAATGTCTTGTAACTTTCAAACGATAAGTGTGATTTTAATCAAACATTCGGCAAATTTGTACAAAATTAAATAGTCTATAATATTGTCTAACATTATAATACCCTACATCATATAGATGTACCTTAAAAACCTTTAATTATGTCAACATTTATTGAACTACATTTTTTTGCATAAATCTTTTATAGCTTTTTTTAAAAAAATCGGAAAATAAATGGTGTTTTTGGCAAATTTGTACAAAATTAAATAATCTATAATATTGTTTAACATTATAATGCTTTAAATCAGCAATTAAAAACATTAAATTGAAGATATATTGGGTGCAATGTTATTGTTTGGAACCCAGCAGTTTTCTCAAAACTGTCAATGGCTTATTTGAATTGGAATTGTTGAGACCTTTTAAATGATACCCCACACAACATATTTGACGCGAAACGTTTCGACCCTTTATTCGACCCATCGTACTGCATATAGTTCGGTAAAGTCTTGTAACTTCTAAACGGTTTGTCTGATTTAAATGCAGTTTTCGACAAATTTGTGTAAAATTAAATAATCTGTAACATTGTCTTACATTATAAAGCCCTACAGCAAATCGGTTACACTAAAAATAGAAATTGTTCTCGTAACATCGTTCTCGGTACTATATTCATATAGAGCTCGTCGAGACTTTTTAAATGATACCCCACACGACATATTTTACGTAAAACGTTTCGACCCTTTATTCGATCCATCGTACTGGTTCATTTATTTATTAAAAGTCTTGTAACTTCTGAACGGTTCGTCTGATTTAAATACAATATTCGATAAATGTATTCAAAATTAAATAATCTCCAGTATTATCAAAAAATATTGTACCCAAATGCTATGGCGAGGCCAATAAAGCAAATAAAAATCAATTATTCATAAGCAATGATAAATATTATATTATTGTTATTATAATTATATTATCACTTACAGTTCTGAAGAGTTGTGCCGATTTGAAGCTTCGTACGCTGCCGGACTCCGATTTCGAGGAGCCCTTTATGGGGGTCACCTCAACTTTGTCGAGAAATCTCTTCGATTTGTCGATGATGCCTCCTGGCAGTTTGGCATCGTCTTTGGGGTCGTACATGCAATCCGGTGCACACGAAACTGAAAAAAAAATATATATATTCATAAATATTTAAAAATTATAATTATATATTAAACAGATTTATAATAATCTACAAGCAACTTGGTATACTTTAAAAATGAAAATTCTTGTTGTAAATTTGTTCTCGATGCTATATGTTTATAGAGCTCGTCGAGACCTTTCAAATGATACCCCACACGACATATTTGATGCGATACGTTTCGACCCTTTATTTGATCCATCCGACTGTAGCATTTATTTATTGAGTCTTGTAACTTCTAAACGGTACGTCTAATTCTAACAGAGTATTCGACAAATTTGTTTATAATTAGATTATCTACAATATTGTCTAACATCATAATGCCCCAAAGCAACTCGGTATACTTCAAAATCGCGATTGTAAAAGACAAATTAATTCAGGAGTGTTAAAAGTACATTTTTTATGAAATCGTTAACAAATCGCAAACCATTCGATTTAAATAAATATTGTTACAAATAAATTCGTTCGAAATAAAATAATCTTTATTATTGTCTGACAATTTAAATCCATAGGGCAAAAAAAGTTAAAAAAAGATTTTAAAAAATGTTCAAAAAGTACATAATGACTCAATGATCACATTCAAAATGATTCAGAAATGTTCGAAATGATCCAAAATTGTAGAAAATTATACAAAAATGTTGAAATTGATACAAAATTGTTGAAAATGATACAAAATTGTTCGAAAAAATACAAAAATGTTCAGAAAAATTCAAAAACAATTATTATTATATAAAATGTTGAAAGTCATACAAAATTGTTGAAAATGATGCAAAAAAATTTAAAATGATGCTAAACGTTGAAAATGATACAAAAATGTTCAAGAAAATACAAATATATTCAATAAAATGATAAAAATGTTGAAAGTCATATAAAAATGTTGAAAATTATATAAAAATGTTGAAAATGATGAAAAAATTTTGAAAATTATATAAAAATGTTGAAAATGATGCAGAAAATGATGCAAAAATGTTAAAAAATATTCAAAAAAATTTAAAATAATACAAATTGTTGTAAATGGTTCAAAATTGTTAAAAATGGTTCAAGATTGTTAAGAATGATACAAAATTGGTAAGAATAATACAAAAACGTTAAAAATGATACAAGAACGTTAAAAATGATGCAAATTGTTGAAAATGATGCAAAAATGTTGAAATTCATACAAAAATGTTCAAGAAAGTACCAAAATGTTCAGGAAAATACGAAAATGTTCAAAATGATACAAAAATGTGGAAAATCATATAACAATATTGAAAATGATACAAAATTATTGAAAATGGTTCAAAATTGTTAAAAATGGTTCAAAATTGTTAAAAATGGTTCAAAAGTGTTAAAAATGGTTCAAAATTGTTAAAAATGATTCAAAACTGTTAAAAATGATTCAAAACTGTTAAAAATGATACAAAATCGTTGAAAATGATTCAAAATTGTTAAAAGTGATTTAAAAATATTGAAAATGATATAAAAATATAATTGAAAATGAAATAAATACAAAAGTGATACAAAAAAAAACAGAAAAACGTTAAAAATAATGCAAAATTGTTAAAAATGACACAAAATTGATGAAAATGGTTCAAAATTATTAAAAATGATTCAAAGTTGCTGAAAATGGTTCAAAAATGTTAAAACCGGTTCTAAAATGTTAAAAATGGTTGAAAATTGATAAAAATAGTTCAAAAATGATAAAAATGGTTCAAAATTGATAAAAATGGTTCAAAATTGTTAAAAAAAATTCAAAATTGATAAAAATAGTTCAAAAATGATAAAAATGGTTCAAAATTGATAAAAATGGTTCAAAAATGTTGAAAATGATACCAAAATGTTCTAAAAAATACAAAATATTGGAAAATTATACAAAATTGTTGCAAAAAAATCAGAAATATTCAAAAAAAAATCAATAAAATATAAAAATGTTCAAGAAAATACAAAAATATTCAAGAAAATACGAATATGTCCAATAAAATAAAAAATTTGAAAATGAATCAAAATTGTTAAAAATAAATAAAAAATGTTGAAAATGAATCAAAATTGTTATAAATAACTAATAAATGTTGAAAATAATTAAAATTTGTTCAAAATAATTCAAAAATGTTCACATAATACATTTAATACACGTTACACATAATGGAACATGTTAAACATTTAAATTACAGTACGGGAAGTTCCAGCAATTTGCCTTAAGGCACGATGCCATACAAAACTAGTTTATTAAAAGAATTTATGTACTTAACCTACATCAACTCGATCTACTTTAAATTACAAAAGATAAAAAATCAGAATGCACAATTTATGTAATAAGATCTTTATACTCATAATATAAATAAAAAAATTAAGCATGCCGAGTTGCTGTAGGAACCTCTAATTATTCAAAAATATAAAGAAATGATTTAAAACTGTATATTAAAATTTTTACCCGCCATTGTTGACGGTTACACAAGTTGTACTTACTGGGAACATCATTAAACCTAGTTAACTTGGCTTTAGTAAAGGACATTTTATTTTAATAACTAACTAACTAACTAACACTTTAACAAATTCAACACTTGATAATAAATATATTATAAATAAATAATTTAATTAAATTAGATTAAATAGAATACATTATAAATATTAATATAATTAAATAAAAACCGTTGGCATCGCACAGCCGGCCGCCCGACGTTGATAGAGAATACACTACTACTGTACTATACTACTACACATATACTAATAATATAATAATGCAATGACGAAGGAGAGGTCTTCGCCGAGCAGCTGTTACGTCGAAAAAACACGAAGTACAAAAGGATTTACGACGACAGAGGAGGGGAATATTTCAAATCGAGGGACAGGGTTGAAGAACCTTTTAGGACGTAAATTATTTGCAGTCGAAATAGTCGAAACAAGCTATAACTAGCTGCAAGTGGAATTCTGTCTTAAGGCAATTAAGGCATCGTGCCTTAAGGCAAATTGCTGGAACTTCCCGTACCGCAATTCAAAATTCGAGTAATTAAAAATAATCAATAATAATAATCAATAATATTAAATCATTCTATCTTAAATCATTTATTTTGAAATATTTTGGAAATTCTGAACTTTTTTTCAAAGCAATCGTACTGCTTTAACTACATAAAGACGAAATATCGAAGCGCGTAAGGCCCGCGTCGCCCTCTAACGCGTAAACATTGGTACGGAACCCATAGGACTGTAAACCAAATTTATACTTATTGTTAAAATCTCTATAAAATATCTGATAATTTGATGTGCATATGTCTAATGATCATTTTTGACCGTTCTCTCAAAAACTGAATTACAATTTTTGGTTCTTTTTGTCCCGAATCTTCGTATTATTATTTTAAAATAGCTTCAAAATTTTTTAAAAACTTTAGAAAATAGATTTTTGAAAAATTCGAAATTGTTGAAAAAATTTACCTTTTTTGAAAATTTCGATTTTTTTATATATCGAGGTTTTTTTAAAAATTTTGAACATTTTTTCGAAGCAATCGCGCTTTACCCAAAATCGGCGACGAACATTTGTACCCGTACACACACACAGGTATTTTTTGGGTATGCCACCAAAATGTTCAGAAATTTTTAAAACGTAAAAATATGCAGAAATTTTAGACTTGAGACCTTTTAAATGATACCCCACACGACATATATGACGCTAAAATGTTTCGACACTTTATTTGACCCATCGTACTGTATATTGTTCAGTCACTGGTGCATTTATTTATTAAATATCTAAGTAATTAGTAAATTCTAAACGGTAAGTCTGTATTTAATGGAATATTCGACACATTTTCACAAAATTAAACTATCTACAATATTGCCTAATATTATAAGACCCTACAGCAACTCGGTATACTTTGAAAATAGAATTTATTGTTGTAAAATTGTGACCTTTCAAATGATACCCCACACGATATATTTGACACAAAACGTTTCGACCCTTTATTTGACCCATCATTGCACGCATTTATTTATTTCATCTCTTGTAACTTCTGAACAGTACGTCTGATTTAAACGCAATAATCGACAAATTTGTGTAAAATTAAATTATCTACAATATTGTCTAACATCATAAAGCCCTACAGCAACTCGATAGACTTTAAAAATAAACATTGTTGTCGTAAAACTATTCTCGGTACTAAATTCACCTAAAGCTCGCCGAGACCTTTCAAATGATACCCCACACGACATATTTTACGCGAAACGTTTCGACACTTCATTCGACCCATCGTACCCCGTACAACATGCATTTACTCATTAAAAGTCTTGTAACTTCTAAACGGTATGTTTAATTTAAATGCAATATTCGACAAATTTGTACAAAATTAAATAATCTAAAACTTTTCTCAATAGCAAAAGTTCCTAGAACAACTCAGTATACTGGTAAATAGCAATTGAATGTCAACATGTAATCCTGGCACGTTTTTTTTCAATACGAGTACAAACTTTCCGAACACTTGGAAGATCTACAAGATCTGCAAGAGCTGGAGAGCATTTCCATGAATATCTTCTTTCTTTAAGTTTATGGTTGTACTTACAACGCTTGTATTGATAATTCTAATTATTTTAGTTTGATAATTAAGTGTATTTAATTAACATTCAATACTATGTCATTCAACGATGATTTTATGAGACATCGATATTTTTTGGGTTTTTTTTATATAAAATCATGACATACCTAATCTAACTTGGAGCTAATTTGCTCCAAGAGCGATGTATTAAAATTTGCATTAGAAAAATTAAAGTGTATGATGATACGCCGTGTTTAAATTTACTAATTCACCTAGTGTAAATAAGGTTTGCAACACCTGGCCGTCCCTGCTACTGGGTCTCGTTTCTACCTGAAACCTTTTTAAAAGGTTCACACAAAGGACGATTTGACAATTGCATATATTTCATAAACATAATAATGCGCAAATTTATATGTATACATAAAATATATATATATATATATATATATAAAGTACATATATATATATATATATATATATATATGTGTGTGTGTGTACTTCGAATCACAAAAAATTAAATGCAGTACTATATAAATTTAAGATATATATTTATTTATTATTTTAACTTTTAGGTGTTTAAATTATTTTTGGCTAACACATCAAATACATTTATCAATTTCGATGACAAACGATTCAGAATAACTTGAAACGCCTGAATGCACAACAAATACATGGACATTTTGACAGTATTCAGTATGATTCATTAGCATAGTGTATGGAGCGTAACACAGCCTTGCCATAACATTGGTCTGTTGTGAGATAGAATGTGAAAATAGAAATTCTTGTTTTAAAATTGTTCTAAATACTATATTTTTATAGAGCTCATCGAGACCTTTTAAATGATACCCCACATGACATATTTGACACAAAACGTTTCGACACTTCATTTGACCCATCGCACTCGTACAACGTGCATTTATTTATTACATCTCTTATAACTTTTAAACGGCTCGTCTGATTTGAATGCAATTCGACAAATTTGTACAAAATCAAATAATCTAAAACTTTCTCCAATAACAAAAAATCCTAGAACAACTCGGTATACTTTAAAATTGCAATTAAAACAGAAAATTTATGTCACAACCAAATTGATCAATTTGAAAAAAAATTGATATATTTAGTTTAAGAGAGGGACAACGCTGACAAGGAAATTTAGAAAAAAAATCGTAACATGTCATATTTGAAACACATAAGCACACATACTTTTTTCTAATTTTGGTATCAAACGATTCAGAATAAACGGAGACGTGCTGATTAGTTTTGTTGCGTGCACAAAAATAGAAAACGAGTTTTTGAGAGAACGGAGCATCCGATTTGAATAATTCAAAAAACATTCAATTAGAAATGATTGGGAGAAGAGGTGATTAGTTTTTGGCAAATGCAGATCCAGCCGTTTTGGAGATACCGAGCTAAATGTGGAAAAAAGTGCGGTTTTTGAGAGAACTAAGCACCCGATTTGAATGATTCAAAAAACTTTCTGTTTGTATTGAAAAAAAACAAAAAATTATTTCAATTTTTTTCAGAAAAATATTTCAGATTTTACTTTTACTTCTAGCTAAAGTTCTAAGGCTTGCTTATATACTTCAAATAAATAATTTTAACTTTGCAATTCAGTTTATATAATTCATAGAAATATGAGATAAGGTCCTGCATTTTCAATTCGATTGATTAAGTTTTGTTAATATACTTTTCTGTAAACATATATAAGTTACAGTACTTATAATAATCTATTTGAAAACGTTTAATATTCCTTGTACGGGAAGTTCCAGCAATTTACATACACCTCTAGTTAATTATTTTATCTATCACTTTACTGCAAATTTCTTTAAAAAATTATTATACATATTTATATATAACAAAGTAAAACATTTGCAAATTGAAAACAAATGTATAGAAAAGTTTATTAAATCCTCTTTTTATATTATAAACATTATAAGAGTACTCTTATTAGTTCACTTATTTCTAAAATTATTAATAATATTAATGCTATCATATTTACAAATTCAATGTCAGTTTAAAAATTAATTGTTAAAATAAATGTATGTATATATTTTTAAAATCGTCACCTAAAATAAGTAATTTTTTACATTTGGCACAATAGCAGTGAGACCACCGATCTGCAATATTCACAAAACAATTAAAACTAACCTAAAAAATTAAATAAATCAACACCTACCTTATCTCCATCCATTTATTTTTGTAACAACAAAAACTTGTATACATGTCTTCGTGTACTGCCAATTCGAATCTTGTCACCACTCTTGACGGAACACAATTCGTGTTTAAACATTTTCTTATCATTTAAAAAAGTGCCTCCGATGCTTCTGTCAATCAGGAACCATGAATTCTTCAAGCGATCATAAATGAATCTGCAATGGAAGTCTGATATTGTGATGTCGGGGATCACATGGTGGTTTTTGAGGTCTCTGCCAATTGTAAACTGAAAAATGATAATAGATATAAGAATAATGTTGTATATGTATATAGGTATATTATAAATACTTACTATGGAAGTGCTTAATATAATTTTGATGTCTTTGCTTTTTAAAATAGCGACATAACCCATTGTGTCTACTGAACTGGTTTTAGACAATTTTCTCATACGTTCAGACATTGTAACTTCAATTCATACAATTACAATATTGTTTTAGATTCACCACAATTATTTAATGCCACTAAATATAGATATTTTGAATATTTTATTCTCTTGCTCGAGATTTTACAAATGATTTAGCGAGCTGTCAAAAACACTGAACGGCCATAACGGTCTCTTTCGAATTATAACCAACTTCATGCTTGTGCAACTGTCAATTTTTGACCGCTAAATTCAAAAGTTGAATTAGACATAATAATAATAATTTATATATTATAATTCGCATATAGTCACTGTGTTTTACATAGTGTGATAATAACTCACGACATTTATACACATTTTCGCACAAAATATTGAAAATATAATTTAAGACATTGAGACAATAAGAAAACTAACACAAAAAATATATATAGTGAACGGCCATAACGGTCTCTTTTCAATTATAACCAACTTCATGCTTGTGCAACTGTCAATTTGTGACCGCTAAATTCAAAAGTTGAATTAGATATACTTAATAATAATTTATACATTACAATCCGCATGTAGTCACTGTGTTTTACATAGTGTGATAATAATTCACGACATTTATACACATTTTCGCACAAAAAATATTGAAAATACAATTTAAGGCCCTGCGCATTAGGAATTTGATAAGCTTAACATTAATTTAATGATTCTATAAATATATTTTATTAGTTTTAATGAAATAATATAAATATTGATTTTGCAGATCAAAAATAAATTTCATTTCATATTCTCACCACTACAGTTTCACATATTTTCAGAATGAGTACTTATTTCCTATTATCCTTTATTACAAATCAAACAACCACATAAGTATTTTCACTATAACTGTATTTGGCTTACAATATTTTGTTGGGGGCATTTTACATCATTCAAACAGCACAGGCACACAAGCAAAGCACAAGACAACAATCTACCACAATTACATCATTTATACATTTTTCATCTTCTGTACATTAATAATCCTCCTCAAAAATTCCATGACAAAGGCCCGCATACTAAAAACAACACTTGTTTTTAGTAAACCGAGAACATATTAATGTATCTCTTAATAATAATAATTAACAAAATCAAAAATAGTACTATGTGACAATATGTACAATAAAAATAACTTTAAATCTATTTGTTTTTTTTGTAATGATATATAAAAACTTTTTCTAGTCTAGTCGAATGTTGGTATTAATACGAGACGGAGACTTTAGTTCTTCTCTTCCTTCTTTTCTTGGCTTTCTTCGGAGGCTGTTTCGGATTTGGGGGCTGAGCCTTCTCGGTCTGCGGCCATCTGGGAAAAAAAAATATTATTAATACAAATGAAACTTTAAATAATAGTAATAGTATGCATTTGTTTTCCAAATTATATGTCATTTAATATAGAATTATAAGTTATGTATTAATATAAGTTACAAATTAAGTTTACCTATAACATCTGTAATTGTATAATTGAATTGTATAAATACAAATATATAAATAGACAAAATAAATAGGAAAATTATTCATTGCAGAAGTTAAATCAGAAATGTAATAGAAAAATAAATAGATAATAAAAAGAAAAATTGATGCGTCAAAATTATTCATTACAAAAATTAAATTCGAAATTCGCGCGCGCCGTAATGTTGATAAGTTCATGCTGGTAAAATTTGACAGTTCCACTCCACAAAAATTGCTTGAATATGTTAAAACTAAGTGTTTTATTTAAACTATGTCTTCCAATTATAAACTTACTTTTTTGTATGCCATCTCAAACAATTTCAAAGACTGCTGTTGTAGTGATGATGTCGTCTTGCGGATTTCTTCAGGGTCAACATTGTCCTTATTTGCTAACATTTCTCGTACTTTCTTGATTTCTTCTCTCAGTTTTTCACACTAAAATTGAAAAATATAGTGATAAATGATAAATGAAAGAACATCAAATACATGTTGAGGAAACGGTTTGGGCGATTGTCTCAGAAAAATAATGAAATAGAAAACCTAACCTAGAAACCACACAAATGTCAAAAAAAAAAAAAAAAAACTATTGTAGATAACAGGGTCTTTCTGACACAGATTCATAACTTTGGTATGATTCAGTAGCATAATGTATGCAAGTTGAAGCATAACATGGACTTGCCATAACAAATTAAAGGATTCAGAATGACTTGATATGTCCAGAAAACAAAATTATCAAGTCTAATGTGGTTCAAGAAGTTAATTTATATTATATTAATGAAATGTATATATAAAATATGAAAACTGTTTTCATAATCTCTCATAACAGGCACTTCTGTCTGAGATATGAAAATAAAATAAAACAAAAATCACTTAATTTAATGTACTAACCTCATCCTTGGGTAATTGGTCCTTAAATTCTTCCATTTTAGTCTCAGTGTCATGTACAATGCCCTCCGCCTGGTTCACAGCCTCAACCCGATCCTTCTTGACCTTATCGGCTTGTGCATACTGTTCAGCATTCTTAACCATGTTCTCAATTTCGTCTTTGCTCAAACCACCAGATGATTGAATCACAACTAGGGCACAAAAAGGTTACCATTATGGTTACAGTTATAAAATTGTATCTCTTCACAATTATCCTTTATCTTACTTTGTTGTTCCTTTCCAGTGCCCTTATCCTTAGCCGAAACATGTACAATACCGTTAGCATCAATATCGAATGTGACCTCAATCTGTGGCACTCCTCTGGGCGCTGGTGGGATTCCTACTAATGTGAATTGTCCAAGTTGTTTGTTGTCGGATGCCATTTCTCTTTCGCCCTGATGTACTTTGATTTCTACTTGTGTTTGACCGTCGGCTGCTGTTGAGAACACTTGGCTCTTCTTGGTTGGGATTGTTGTGTTGCGGGAGATGAGACGGGTGAACACACCGCCTGAGATAAAAGATAAAAAGATAAATGATAATTACAAGAAGTGATAATTATTTGTTTGATAGATAGATAGTCATTGTAGGTTAGACTTACTTGTGGTCTAATTTGTGCAAAAACCATTTAATATTGTATTCATTTAGTAGTTCTTTGTATTTATCAAAAAAAAAAAATTATTAGCAAAAACCTTGCAAGTTTTAAATTGAATTTAATGACATAACATAAAACATCTTTTGCAAATAGTTGAACAACTGTCAAATATTGGATTTACAAATTATAACTCCTTTCGCAAATATATTATTTAAGAACAAAACTTTTTCAATATATTATTTTTATCCAATATTTATCCAAAATAAATCTATAAAATGCTTTCTATTACACTAATAATAGAGAAAATCATTGAAGATTTAAAGTTAATTTAACCTAACACAATTTAAAAAAAAATTAAAGATGGCTGAACAACTGTCAAATTTTGGACTTACAAATTACAACTCCTTTTGCAAATATATTATTTAAGAACAAAACTTTTGCAATACATTATTTTTATCCAATATTTCTTCATATTTATCCAAAATAAATCTATAAAATGCTTTCCATTACACTAATATTAGAGAAAATCATTGAAGATTTGAGGTTAATTTAACCTAACATAATTTAAAAAAAATTTAAAGATGGCTGAATAACTGCCAAATATTAAACACAAACATGAATCATTTTAAAAGGGCACAAATAGTGCTAAAAGAGGTTAGTAGGTTAATAAATAAAGTATTAGTTTTTTATGTTGTAGGTTTTTTACTTACCAAGAGTTTCAATACCCAAAGACAAAGGTGTGACGTCAAGCAACAAAACATCGGTGACATCACCGGCCAATACACCACCCTGGACAGCAGCACCTACGGCTACGGCTTCATCGGGGTTCACTGCACGTGATGGTTGACGGCCAAAGATTTCTTGAACTGTTGATTGAACCTGTACAAAAAAAATAAAGTTTATAATAAAAAAAAGATTTTTTTTAAAATATTTTCTCTAATAAATGAATAGTTTCTTTAATGGATAAGTAATTTCATCAATAAATTCATAATTGTCCATAAATTCAGAAGTAATTTTAATAATAATAATAATAATAATAATAATAATAATATAAGACACTTAAATTTGTTAAAATATCATAAAATAACCTAAAATTTGTTAAATAAAATAATTATATTGTAAAAGTATTGTAAAGCTTATTGAAATACTTATTAAATTTTTAAAAAATACTTGCAACAAACAAACTAGTTATATTTAAAAATAATTAAAATTAACTAAATATAAATAAGTTTATAGTAAATAAATTAAATGAAAAATAAATAAGTAATAAAATAGCTAATAATTAATTAAATCATATTAAACCTATAAAATATTGACTTAAGCCTTATAATATTATACTGCTTGTAAAATTAATAAATAAATAAATAAATAATTATTAAACAAATATTTTAAACAAATTCAAATCAAAGTTGATCTCACGTCTGGTTAACTTAACTTTTAAGATTTTACTTAAAACACGTAATAACCATCACAAAAAATAAAATTCTGTTACCATCATTGTAAATCTTTTACCTTAGGCATCCTGGTCATTCCACCGACCAGCAAAACCTCTCCAATATCGGCCTTGGAGCACTCAGCATCTTGCAAAGCCTTTTGACAAGGTGATATTGTCCTCTTGATTAAATCATTGACCAAACCTACATACAAAAATATTAAAAAAAACCGTAAATATCATCCATTTTCTATTTATCCATTATCAATTACCTTCCAATTTACTCCTGGACAATTTAAGTGTCATGTGTTTTGGTCCTGATGCGTCCATTGTGATGTAAGGTAAGTTAATATCGGTTTGAACGGATGATGACAGTTCAATTTTGGCTTTCTCAGCAGCCTCCTTCAAACGTTGCATTGCCATCGGGTCTTTTGTTAGGTCAATGCCTTGCTAATGGATAAAAAATACAGAAAATTAGATAAAATCAGATTAAAATTTAATCCTAGTAAAACTTGTAATCAATAAATAAGGTAAATTGAAATTTTTAAATGTATTACTAATTAATAAAATACAAAATAATGAGGAAAAAAGAAGGAAATAATACAATATAATAAAAAAAATTATTACTGATTAACAAAATTTGTTGTGCATGTTTTATAATATTTACCTCTTTTTTGAATTCAGAGACAAGATGGTTGACTAATACATTGTCAAAGTCTTCACCTCCAAGGAAGGTATCACCATTTGTTGATTTAACTTCAAATACTCCTTTTTGGATTTCCAAAATTGAAATATCAAATGTACCGCCACCCAAGTCATATACAGCAATACTAGAACAAAGAAAAATACATAATTTAATCTTTTTTAATCAGTAAAAAATCAAAAGTGTGTTGAAATATCTAAAAATTGTATCCACAATCAAATTAAATAGCTTGTAGTGCCAATTGACCATTTTATGATACCTTTAGACATTGCAACTTCGATTTACACAATTAAATGTGTATACAATACTTTTTTAATTACTCTTTAATGCTACTAAAAAATATTTTGTCTATTTTATTTTTTTTTCCTTTGATAGTTGAATTGCGAGCTGTCAAAAAAATTAAACGGCGGCCATAACGTTTTTTATTAAACATTTGCTAACTTCATGGTCGTGCAACTGTCAATTTTGTAAGCGCCAAATTCAAATGTTAATAATAATTTATAATTTATTATATAATTTATAATTTATTATAGTTCTCATATAATTAGTGGAATGATAATAAAACATTTATAAAATTGAAAGAAAAGTTTTGAAACTAAAATAAATACCTACAAACTAAATTACTAAAGTAATTTTTAAATATTAAAAATATAATTTAAACCGTATTTTCTGAATTTAATTCAAGCTAATTTAATCATTATTAAATGTGTGTAAAATTGTCAGTGAGATATTAAAAGTGCTTAAATATATACAAATAATTCCACAAAATATAAATTTAAAAGTACAGACACAAAAACTTAATCCAGAGTCTTGTGCCACTTTATTATTTAAATTTAAATTTATACAAATTTGGAAAATTTACTTCTTTATTTCTAATAACACACTTGTTATTACTCACTAACAACTTTACAAATTTAAAAGCCGTCATATTTCATTCTGTATAAATGCAAATCTTATATATAAAAATGGATCGCAAAATGTGTTGGTAAGCGCATAACTCAATAACGCCTGGACTAATTTGGCTAATTTTTTTTTTTAAATGTTCGTTGAAGTCCAAGGATGGTTGTTACGGCGAGAAAAAATCGAATAATTGCCAGGAAAACCCTAAAAACAACCCTTTTCTTTTTTAATCGAGTAGGCAACGAACTTTGTAGAAAAAACAATGTTCTATGTCATGACATTTTGTGTAGTTTTTGATAATCTAATTTTTAATATATAAGGTTGTCAAATATCTCCCTTCCGCTTTTTTGCTCCAAGACAAAAGAGATATTTGACAAGTTAATATTTATACAGACATAGAAATCTCTTTCCATTAATTAACGAGCTATATTGGCAGCCAAACACATTGATGTAAATGAATTAAATTTCAAAATTCAAGAACAAATTACCGGCGAATCAGTTGATTCGGCAACTAACCAAGACGATCCACCGAAGTTTTTAAACTCGCTGGATTTGGTAGGATTGTCACCTCACAATCTTCAATTAAAGGTTGGATCGGCAATTATAATGTTGCGAAATATCGACCAACCGCGCCTTTGCAAGGGCACAAGGTTAGCGATAAAAAAAACTACCAAACAACGTGATGGAAGCAACTATATTGAAAGGATAGTATAACGCAACGTGCATCCCAATGATTCCGACTAAGGTGCCATTTGAGATTAAACGACAACAGTTTCCAGTGCGTTTATGGTATCATTAAGTGTTTGTGGTATTAATTTGGAAAACCCATGTTTCTCACATGGAAAATTGTACGTTGTCTGTTCCCGTATAGGAAAACCATCAGATTTGTTTGTCTATGCGCCAGGAAATCAAACAAAAAACATCGTTGATCACAAAGCACTACAATTAAAATTGAACTGATTTTTGAAGTATGGTTTACATGATTAAAATTACTTACTTTTAAATGCTTATAGTGTTTTATTTAATTATTTTTAATTCACGCCGAATTATTACCAGGGTGACGGTTCTGTTCAGGATAATTTTTTGCAAAGAATAGAAAAAAGGTGGAAACAAAACACCGCCACATTGCACATTTTTTTGACAGGACAAAGTCTGTCGGGTCGGCTAGTTTTATATAAATTTGCATTTTTTTTTTAAATATTTAATAAATTTTGAAATGATTTCTTATTCATTTTTATCAAAGAATTTGATTAAAAGTGAATTCATATTCATTTTTATGAAATCATTAGATTAATAATGATTTCCTTATTATTTTTATCAAAAATTTAGGATAATAATGATTTACTTTAATTACAATCAAAGAATTAGATTAATAATGATTTCATATTCATTTTTATCAAAGAATTAAAATCAATTGCAGATTAAACAAAATTCAAATTCAAATTTAAAATATATTAAAGCTGTCAAAAAACTGAACGGCCATGATGGTTTATTTAACCATAACCAACTTCATGGTTGTGCAACTGTCAATTTGAGACCGCCAAATTCAAATGTTAATAATTGTTGAATTATCTGATTTTATAATAATAATTTATCATTTATTATAATTCTCATAGTCAAAAAGCATTGAAAGTAAAACATTGAAACATATTGCAAAATAATAAACTAAATTTTATTCTATATAGGAAAAAATTCCTGTTCTTTTTTATATCAATTATTTGAATAATATTCACCAATTCAATATTTTTTGAATAATTTTTTTTATGATAATGTTACTTATTTCTATTACGTATTTTTTTATCACTTACATTTTATCCTCAGTCTTATCCATTCCGTAAGCCAAAGCAGCTGCAGTCGGTTCATTAATAACTCTCAAAACATTGAGTCCTGAGATTTGTCCGGCATCCTTTGTAGCCTGTCTTTGTGAATCATTAAAATAAGCAGGTACAGTAACGACAGCATTCTTAACCGGTGTATTAAGATAAGCTTCAGCAGTCTCTTTCATTTTAACCAAAACAAAGGCTCCAATTTGACTTGGAGAGTACATTTTGCCATCGGAACCTTGTACCCAGGCATCGCCGTTGGAGGCACGGACAATTTTGTAAGACAGATTTTTCCTAAAGTAATTAATAATTAGTACATCACTAAATTTATACCAGTAGTTGTATTTTTTATCCTTACATGTCTTTCTTTACTTCAGCATCATCGAAACGTCTGCCAATCAAACGTTTTGTGGCGTAGAAGGTGTTGGCCGAATTTGTGACTGCTTGACGTTTGGCTGGCATGCCTACCAGTCTTTCGCCTTCTTTGGTGAAGGCTACGTGTGATGGGGTTGTTCTGGAGCCTTCGGCATTCTCAATTACCTAGAGAAAAAGAATTACATTAATAATAGTTATTTCTTATTCATTTTTATCAAAGAATTAGATTAATAATGATTTCTTGTTCATTTTTATCAAAGAGTTGGATTAATAATGATTTCTTATTCATTTTTATCAAAAAATTAGATTAATAATGATTTCTTATTAATTTTTATCAAAGAATTATATTATTAATAATGTCTTAATCATTTTTATCAAAAAATTGCATTAATAATGATTTCTTATTCATTTTTATCAAAGAATTGCAATAATAGTGATTTCTTATTCATTTTTATCAAAGAATTGGATTAATAATGATTTCTTATTCATTTTTATCAAAGAATTAGATTAATAATGATTTCTTATTCATTTTTATCAAAGAATTAGATTAACAATGATTTCTTAATCATTTTTATTAAAGAATTAGATTAATAATAGTTATTTCTTATTCATTTTTATCAAAGAATTAAAATCAATTGCAGATTAAACAAAATTCAAATTTAAATTTAAAAGATTTTGAGCTGTCAAAAAACTGAACCGCCATGATGGTTTATTTAACCATAACCAACTTCATGGTTGTGCAACTGTCAATTTGAGACCGCCAAATTCAAATATTAATAAATATTGAACTATTTATTTGATATTTAATTTTACAATAATAAAATATGATTTATTATAATTCTCATAGTCAAAAAGCATTGTAACAAAAACATTGCAACATATTGCAATTTAGTGTAACTAAATTTTATTCTATATAAGAAAAAAAATCCTGTTTTTTCTTATATGTAATAATTGTTGAACAGATTTATTATTTATTTGAATAATATTTACAATTTCAATATTTTTTGACTAATTCTTTGATGTTAACAGAGCAAAATATTTGACAAAGCCACCAAATCACCTAAATTTCAAGTCTAACAAATAAATTATAAATAATTCACTAATTAAAACTAACCTTAGCTTGTTTACCCTCCATAACAGCAACACAAGAGTTTGTTGTACCCAAATCAATACCGATAACTGCTCCTTTAACTGTGCCATCTGATCTAAAATATAAAAAAATTAAATTAAAACAATTTCTAGAAATATCAAAAAGATTGTGTTATTAACTTTTTAATGCACTTTTATAACAAGGCAAGATCACAAATGGTACAAATCCTTCTCTTTAATACACAATAGTGTGTTTGTAATATTTTAACTGTTTACAGATTTTCTATTAGTATATTTAACTAATTTTAACAATTATTGGTTCAATGTGCATGCAAGGATAAATTAAAAATGATTTCTTTAGAAAATTTGTTGTATTATTGATAGTAGTTAAAATTTTGAGGTTAAATGAGAAAACTAGCACTAAACTTTTGACAAATTACACAGAATTTACATGAAAACAGGAAATTCAAATATATATTTGAAAAACATATTACCTTCATTTAAAATTAATAGAGATTTAGAAATATATGAATATTTAGAAATAAGAAATGAGAAAACTAGCACTAAACTTTTGACAAATTACACAGAATTTACATGAAAACAGGAAATTCCAATATATATTTGAAAAACATATTACCTTCATTTAAAATTAATAGAGATTTAGAAATATATGAATATTTAACTTAAAAAGTATAAGCATTGAAATTGTGTAACTAATAATTTACTAAATTCACCATCAGAATTAACTGATGCAATATTTTAGAGAAATTACATTTAGAGTATTTGTTTCAACACAAATTTTACAAATTGACACTTTGTATGACGTGCAATAAAGGCCAAAAGTACTATGAAAACCTTAAAAGTAGTCTTGAGGATATGAAAACAATCCTGTTTCAAATCAGAATCAAATTTGAGTATTTCAAACTCAAAAAATGATACATTTGTGCATTAGAAAACATTAATATGCCCAATTTTTAAAAGAAATTACTACAAATGGACTTGGAGTTCGTACTTGATTTCTAAAACTTGTCACAGTTGATTTTTAAAACCGTAGCAATGGTTTAAAGTACTATGGGGGCCTCAAAATAAGTCCTGAGGTCTCATATTTTAAGTCAGAATCATATTTAAATCTTTCAAAATGCCTAAAGTCAATTTTGTAAATTATAAAGAAGCTCAATACAGCAGATGCATTTGAAAGAAATTACTGGAAGTTATGTTCTAAAAAAATGTGTTTGCAACATTGACAAAGAGTTCTTATTACAAACTAAACAATACCCGAGGAGTACTAGAAACTTGCTACAGTAAGATTTAACACATTGTGCACTACGAGAGCCTCAAATTAAAAGTCCTGGGCACTATTGTTTTAAGTCAAAATTCATTCTAAATCTTTCTTGAATACTAGAACTTGTTACAGTTGAATTTAAAACCGTAACAATGGTTTAAAGTACTATGGGGGCCTCAAAATAAGTCCTGAGATCTCATATTTCAAGTCAGAATCATATTTGAATCTTTCAAAATGCCAAAAGTCAATTTTGTAAATTATAAAGAAGCTCAATACAGCAGATGCAATAAATGAAAGAAATTACTGAAAGTTTTGTTCTTAAAAAAGTTAGTTTGCAACATGAACAGAGAGTTCTTATTACATTCGGGTATTAAACAATGCCCGAATATTAGAAACTTGATACAGTGAAATTTAACACATTGCGCACTACGAGACCTCAAATTAAAAGTCCTGGGCACTAATGTTTTAAACCAAAATTCATTCTAAATCTTTCTTGATTACTAGAACTTGTCAGAGTTGAATTTAAAACCGTAACAATGGTTTAAAGTACTATGGGGGCCTCAAAATAAGTCCTGAGGTCTTGTATTTCAAGTCAGAATCATATTTGAATCTTTCAAGATGCCAAAATGAAGTATAAAGAAGCTCAATACGAAACCACAGCAGATGCAATAATTTAAAGAAAATGTCAGAGGTTATGTTCTTAATTAAAGTTAGTTTGCAACATCGACAAAGAGTTCTTATTACAAACTAAACAATACCCGAGTACTAGAAACTTGATACAGTGAAATTTATAACATTGTGCACTACGAGAGCCTCAAATGAAGTCCTTGTTTTAAGTCAAAATCCATTTTAAATCGCCATTACATAAGCACGTTCAAAATCTTAGGTTAAATCACCTCACTTACATTTAAAGTTTATTAAACACAACTTACTTATTTCTAATTTGTGTAAATCTTGACTGACAGGCCGGCATAAATGATGCTGTTGCCTAAAAAGTAGAAAGAACATAAATTAACACTTAAAGTACAATTGTTGAACACACACGTGAAAACGTAAAATGTAATAATAGAAACATATATGTAAGTATAAATATACATGTAATCAATTTTATACGTGTTATCAATTGCAATTATCCATTATCCCTTATTACTTACATTTTGTAGCAATGTCGAGCTCCTTCTACTCGTAAAATCGCAAGTGATTCCTGAAGAGGCCAAAGCCTTTCGGCTGACGATTCTTGCGGCACTCAACATTTTCAACTATAAAATAATACAGGCAATTTATTTAAGATGTTTTAATTGATTATTTAAGTGTAAAAAGGATGATGCAATCTATAATAATCACTGCACGCGCACGACTTTAATACAAAACGCACAAGGGAAAGAATTTCTTTTGCGAATGACTGTACGCACGGACGAGACTGAAGTTCGCACGGCGCTTGCGCAAGATGTAGTGTTGCCAGATGAAACAGATACGGGGAAATGTTCTAGAAGGTTGGAGAAAAGACGGAGCGGTAAATTTAAAATGGCGGGGAAAGATGATATATAAAGTTTGTGAAAAGTGTTCAAGAGGATGGGAAAAGATGTATAAGGTCAGTGTTTTACTATATTTATGTTTTGAATTGTGCAAGTAATAAAGTTACTAAGTATAGTATCTGAAATCATGCGTTTTAAGTACTTTTACATTAATTTTGAATTGACAAAGTGTTTAAAACAGACGTAATTGAAACAAAACTACAAACCAATAACAGTATAATAATATATTAAACGAAACGAATAATTTTGCATAGCACTTTTACAATGTTTTTTCATACTAATACATGATTTTGTTTTTATTTATATTATTTCATTAATGTAGCTGATTTTTAAAGTCTTAAGAAACTTAAACAAGATGGACGCTTTTGACAGTTTAGCAGATATTTTTTTTAAAAATTAACGTTGAACGACTTGTAATGATTTATCTTAAATACACAAATTAGTTTATAAGTTTTGTTTATTTACATAATTTCATTAACGTGAGGTGCAATTTTTAAATTCGTATTAACAAAATTTTATTTAATTTAAGTTTAAAATTATTACAAGAAAACAAGATGGACGCCTTTGACAGTTTAGCAGTTATTAAAAATTTAACATTGAGGAATTGGTAAAGATTTACTCAATTTATTTACTTAAATACACAAATTAGCTTTTAATTTTTATTTATTTACATAATTTCATTAATGTGAGGTGCAATTTTTAAATTCGTATTAACAAAAAAATTTGTTACAACAAGATGGATGCCTTTGACAGTTTAGCAGTTAAATAATAAAATTAACGTTGAATGACTTGTAATAATTTATTTATTTATTTACTAAAATACACAAATTAGCTTTTAATTTTTGTTTATTTACATAATTTCATTAACGTGAGGTGCAATTTTTAAATTCGTATTAACAAAATTTTAATTAATTTAAGTTTAAAATTATTACAAGAAAACAAGATGGACGCGTTTGACAGTTTAGCAGTTGAATTAAAAAATTAACGTTGTACGACTTGTAATTATTTATCTATTTATTTACTAAAATACATAAATTAGTTCGAAATTTCTGTTAATTTACATAATTTTATTAGTGTCAGATGTAATTTTTAAATTCTTTATTAAAATTAGTTACAAGAAACCGATATGGACGCTTTTGATAGTTTAGCAGTTAAATTAAAAAATTATCTTTATACTTTTTACGGTAAACATATATTTACTTAAATACACAAATAATTAGCTTGAAATTTTTGTTAATTTACATAATTTCATTAATATGAGGTGCAATTTTTAAATTCGTATTAACAAAAAAATTTATTACAACAAGATGGACGCCATTGACAGTTTAGCAATTAAATTTTTAGAAAATTAACGTTAAACGATTCGCAAAGAGTTATTTATACTTAAATACACATATTAGCTTATAATTTTTGTTCATTTACATAATTTTAATAACGTGAGGTGCAATTTTTAAATTCGTATTAATAAAAAAATTTGTTACAACAAGATGGATGCCTTTGACAGTTTCACATTTAAATTGTAAAATTAATATTGAATATTTACGTTAACAAACGATTTGTAAAGAAATAATTATTAAAACGTTAAATTGTTTATATTCACATAATTTCATTACTGCGAGGTGCGATTTTTAAATTCGAATTAAAAATAAGTTACAAAATGGCTTTTGACAGTTTCAAATTTAAATTGAATATTCACTTTCACACAACGTTAGTAAAGGAATTAGATATTTGTGGCATTTTTTTCGAAGGTAAGTTGCATGAACATTAATATATTAATTTATAAAATAACACTAAGAAATTTCATCATCATTTTAGCATTTTCACCATCAATTTTAGTATTTGTATACATTGAATTAATTCATACACTCACATAAATCTCGTTTTGAAAATCCTTTGAATTTCTTGAAAATCTTGATAAAAACTGTTAATTATTTAACGCCTAAAAATTTTATCCCATGCCATTTTTTTGAACGAAAAACTTCAAATTAAAATTCGAAAAGAAACAAATGATTCAGATACAAAAACAAAATTTTTCACTCAAAATAGTTGACAAATGAAAATCTTATCAATCAAAATATGTTGATTTCAACTTCAACTTCGATTAATAATAGTATTAATTTAATCAATTATCTTTTAATTAATGCCTCAATAAATACAAACAAAGCCATTCGACTCAAGTGTGAAAATTGACTTTAGATTCACGATTACAAAAGAAAAAAATATATTTGTATATTTATATTTGTATATCTTATATTTATAACTTAAAATGAAACCAAAATGTCACATCGAGAGATAGAATCATTAAAAGTAATGTAATGTAATTATATTTATATATTGCCTAGTTGTTGCTCGATGAAACAGACATCGAAGACAACGGATTGAACCACAGGTCTTAAAAAATAAAATAAAAAGGGTAAAGGAAATATTTAATATAGAAGCTAGATAATAAATATATATATATATATATATATATATATATATATATATATATATATCTGGCCAACTTTTGAATTATTCTTTACCTAATATTGCATTTTAGGGTATAACGAGTTGCTGCAGGGTGTACTGATGTTAGACAATATTGTTAATTATTTAATTTTAAACAAATTTGCCAAAGACACCATTAATATTAAACGAATGGTTTTAGAATTGTAAGCATATATATTACATTAGTGCGTACAACTTGGCTTCCGCCGTTTTTACTATGCGAGTTCTTTGCAAAAAAAGGCGGAAGCAAAGTTGTACGGTTTCAAATGCATTTTAAAGTACACCGAGTAGCTGTAGGGCTTAATGATGTTAGACAATATTGTTAATTGTTAAATTTTAAACAAATTTGCCAAAGATATCATTCATATTAAACGAATGCTTTAGAAGTTACAAGCGATAAAGTAAAAATATGCACTAGGTATACTAAATTCCAAAGCGAGATTTCAATGCAAACACTATGTAGAAAATCTTAGAAAACCTTCAGTTTGTTTGGAAACTAGTATACCCGATGCACAGATTATATGTTGCCTTTCGATTGCGATTTTAAAGTACACCGAGTTGCTTTAGTGTGTTGCATCATTAGAAACATTTGCATATTATTTAATTCTAACCAAATTAGCCGAATACAGCATTCGTATTAAACGAATGGTTTTTTAATTATGGGCATATATATTACATAAGTGCGTACAACTTTGCTTCCGCCGTTTTTACTATGCAAGTTCTTGACAATAATGGCGAAAGCAAAGTTGTATCATTTCAAATGTATTTTAAAGTATACCTTGTTGCTGTAGGACTAAATGATGTTAGACAATATTGTTCATTATCTAATTTTAAACAAATTCGCCGAAGGCATCATTTATATTAAACGAATTGTTCAGAAGCTACAAGCAATAAAGTAAAAATTCGTTTGTAAGTATACTAAATTCCAAAGAAAGATTTCGCTACAAATACTATACAGAAAATCTTTGAAAACCTTCAGTTTGTATGGAAACTAGTATACTTTGTTTACAAGGATTTTTTTAAAGAATAATCCAAAAGTTGGGCACTATTATTTTTTTGTAAGACTTAGCTAGCTTCTAGATTAAAATAAATACAGTGTAGTCCGAATATAACTAATAAAACCATATAGCTAAATAAATTGAATTTAAATTTCTATATGATAAAAATATAATGTCGCTTCAGGAGATTAAACAAAATTAAAAATAATTTATTTATAATATATAAAATCTTGAACTGTTTGATGTAGTTATATCCAGACTGTACAATTAAAATTGTTACATAATTAAAATTGCCAAAATAAATTAAACTCTCTCTCTCACAATTCTTTCAATTATCTCACTAATTTTAACGTATTTTTTTAAAACACTCGTGTAGAAATAAATTAACGGTAAATACTTTAAAATTCTGTTTTGTTTTTCTTCACCACACACACACACACACACAAACAGTCATCAATATAATTTACAGAATTATAATAATTACAATAATAATAATAATAATTATAAGCACATTTAAAATTAATATTTACAATTATTTTTATGTTATATTTTGTGTAATGTGGGTTTCTTTTATACAATTTTATCGTTTCCCTCGGTTTTAGTTCACAAATCAAAGAATGGAAAATCATTCTCAAATATTGTCGTGATAAATGTTTTTGCAGTTTGGATTATTTGAATAGGAATTGATATATATATATATATATATATATATATAATGGTCAAAACTGTTAAAAAGATTTAAATATAATTTCTTTAAAAAACATTTATTACGTAATCGTTCACAAAACATTTAAGTAACTGTTCGCAAATGTTACGTAACAATTACGTACCGTACAAAATTCTATAAATTAAATATTTATAAAAAAACGTATAAATAAATTCGATGAAACCTTAAAAATTCGTCAGATTTCATCAATTTTGAAGATCTGTTTTCACAAAATTTCTTGAATAAAAAATTATAGCGTACTAAAAGTATTATATTATTTTTTAAACGATAATGTAACAATTACGTAACATTTACTGCACACATTTATGAATAAATAATTCATCCATATTGAAAAATATATTCAAGCAATGTCGAGATTAAAATTTAGGGAAAAGATGTAAAAAATTGTACAACAATTTTAAAATAGTTTAAAAACGTTTCTATTTCAATATTTTTTAAAAAATCAACAAAATTTTGAAAAAAAACGACTGAATTAAAAAAACAGAAAAAACAAATTATAATAATACATAATTTAGAAATAATTATATAATAATAATTACTAAATTCTGAATTATAAACTACATTCTGTATATTTCTATAAAACTTTGAATAAATTTATGTTCACTTTTGTTATGAAACATTTGTACATCATGTTAAATATTAATTACTATTATTATTTTTTTCAAATAACCCAAACCGTTATTCAAACAAATCCAATCTCTTATTCATTCATTTCTAACCTACATTGAAGGGACTACAAATACTTACTTTTACTTATCCAAAATTTTCCAAAATGCAAATCGTGTAAATCCTCCAATTTATAATAATCCTAATCAACATTATTTGATTTCGACACGAGTCATAAATAGAAAAACAATTACAAAATTGAGTCTTGTGTCGAAATCGTAATAGATATATGTTTAATATATATTAGGGTGGTTCTTAATATGGACATTTTTGAATTTTCTTGCTCCCAAGGGCTTAAATGGTTCCAAATTGATGAAAAACAATTTTCGAAAAGTTTTAGCTCTTAATATTAACTTATAGATAGTGCGCAATTCAATATATTTCCATACAAAACTTTGATTGAATTGCGCTCTATCTAAAAGACAATATTAAGAGCTAAAACTTTCAGAAAATTGTTTTTTATCAATTTGGAACCATTTGAGCCTTTGGGAGCAAGGAAATTCGAAAATAGCCATATTAAGGACCACCCTAATATATATATATATATATATATATATATATAATTGTATGTATAGATAAATAGATCTTGATGAATTGTTATAAATACAAATAATTAAGAATATTTCAATGCATTTTTAATAATTTCAAAAGCTTTATGAATAAATTCAAATGGTTAAAATAATGTGCTAATTTAATAACCAAAATAATTGTTTTAATTAATATTCATAATTAAACTCTTGATAAAAAATAATTAATTGAAAAAATTTGATCAATTTAAACTGACAAGGAGAATCTCGTGTCCACTTTTTGGGGATTTTCACAAAACTTTGGATGAAGTAGAAAGTCTAACCAAACATTTTAAAATATTATAGGCCTATGAGAAGTGCTTCAATTACAAAAATTAATTAAAAATGCAAAAAATAGACAGTATTTTAATATGTCTCAGTAGTTTAGGCGCTTGCTTCTAATTTTAGCCTAGAAATTTTAAAAAGAATAAAAAGTGCACAAATTCAAATCCACGAATGTATAACTTTTTTTATTTATGTATTTATTTATCTATTCATAAGCAAGCCATAACTTCTTTTTAATATTTTCATGTTTGAACAGTTAATTGCAATAATATTTATAATTATTAACACATTAAACATGTTGTGCTTTGATTAATTCTTTTAATTAAACTACTTCTCATAGGCCTATAATATTTTAAAATCATGGGTTTGACTATCAACTCTATCACCGTGCAAAGTTTTATCAAAATCCCAGAAGAATAAACCTGTGAGTATAAATGTAGACGAAAAATTATAATTATTGTATCTATACATACAATTTTATACATATATTTATATATGTATCAAACATACATACTTTTCTACGTAGACTGTTTTGAATACACAGCAAATCCAATTTTTAATGATTTATATATACATATATATACATATATATACATATATATACATATATATATATATATATATATATATATATATATATATATATGATTATAGTTTTGTCGACGTTGATACATATTTGTAATATTTTTGCAGCCCAATCGTCGAATTAAAAAAAGATTAAATAACAAAATTATTTATTCCATTAAACGTTTCGACACTTGATGTGTGTCATCATTCAGTATTCTAAAAAACATATAACATAAATACAAAGTTGATGATAAATATAAAGATATAAAAAGGAGAAAATTATACACACCAAACCAGGAAAAACAGAAAAAAATTAATTCCCCTTGCGTTGTAACCTTGATCAGTGTCCATAATGCACCGCTATCAATAACATCAAATATAGGAGTGCAATATGTGCTTCTTCAATTTCTCATTTGTTAATAATAATAGTATATTATTATTTTACACAAATTTAGTGTTCAATCAATTTTACATCATAATTAAAATGTTTCTGTTGTTTTTCCTGGTTTGGTATGTATAATTTCCTCGTTTTTTTATATATTTATATTTATCATCAACTTTGTATTTATGTTACATGTTTTTTTAGATTACTGAATGATGACACACATCAAGTGTCGAAACGTTTAATGGGATAAATAATTTTGTTATTTAATCTTTTTTTAATTCGACGATTGCGCTGCAAAAATATTACAAATATATATATATATATATATATATATATATATATATGTTGAAAATGTTTAAATTTGATGTTGAAATTGGCGTAACATCAAGTAAAAAATAATCTTTACATCTTTATTTTTCCATACGTTTTGACGTAAAATTCTACGTCATCGTCAGTGGTTCTACAATTTAAAAAAAAAAAAAAAAGAAAGTAACGTTACAAATTGAATATACATAAGCAATAGTAAAAATAAAAGTTTTAACTAAAGAGACAGACTAATTATATCTAAGCCTTAAATTAAAAATTGCATAAAACATTAATTTTCTTTTTATAAAAAAGAAATTACTGACAGTTAGTGCTTGTCTCTATATTAATTTTTACAAGTTATATTAATATGTGTTAGTGATAATATAAGTAATTCAAGTAAGTAATGTTTTATGCTTAGATATAATTAGTCTGTCTCTTTAGTTAAAACTTTTCTTTTTACTATTGCTTATGTATATTCAATTTGTAACGTTACTTTCTGTTTTTTTTTTCTTTTTTTAATTTGTAGAACCACTGACGATGACGTAGAATTTTACGTCGAAACGTATGGAAAAATAAAGATGTTTTGAAAAAAATCTTTACTTTACTTATTTTTTGATCGATGTTACGCCCTCCAAGAAACCAATCATATATATATATATATATATATATATATATATATATATATATATATCTATTATGCATATATAAATCCTGATATAACTATACAGTATATAATTTTACTAATATTATTCACAGCACTTGTAGTTTTTTCCCCGAAATATCTATAGCACTGTTCGTTTATTACCTATTAATATTTTAATATTTATATATTTATGTATATATTTATAATAATAACTAATAATTTTAAATTACACCTTTCTGCTGCACATCCGTATGTTCCCTCGGCAATAACATATTATTTTAATTTTAATAAATTCACTAAATGTCATCGTTAAACAATTGTACATACACATTTAATAATGCAAAAACACAGTCTTTAGGATTCCCAAATCGTTTATTATTAATACTGGAGATGCACAGCATCTGCGGAGACATTTGAGATGGGGTCGGTGACACACTATTGCACATGGTAAAAGACTCAGAGATCGTTGCAACTAAATTTTGTTAATAATCTACTAGTCTATTCCTCCAACCGATCATCCCAAATTAAGCTGCGCACCAAACGGAATCAAAGTCAAAATTTTATTATCCCCAATTTTCATATTACAACTATTATTTACAATTATTAATACTCGCTATTAATCCGTGATCATTGCGAGACCGCCGGCGATTTCTTGTCATTATCGAGCCCCCCGTTACCCTGTGGGCCTCCAGAAGATGTCGGAGGCCCCGGAGGCGGCGGGGGCCACGATCCACCTCCGCTTCCGTCTTGTTGGTGGTGATAGGAAGGTTGGTCTGGTGGGCCTCCAGGGCCGCCACTCGGGCCGCCTGGAGGGCCTCCGGGGTCTCCAACCGTGGGGCCTCCGCTGGCGGCTGAAGAGGCGTCGTACTGGGTGTTCTCGAGTCGTGTTATGAGGCGCTCGTCTTCGTCACCGAATTCGCCGCCCATCAGAGAAGGCTCGCCGACTACCATCACGTCCTGGGGGAAAAAATATATGGTAATGGAATGTTTTATTGTAAGTGAAATTGATAAAAACTATCTGGAGACGAATGGGGAAAAAAGTGTGAACAGACGAGGAAGAAAGAACACTACTGAGCATTATCATTTAAAGAAAAGGAAACTGGATCGGACCTATTTTGAAAAAAAGTGCCTTCTACACGACGTTGTCGAAGGTAAAATAGAAGGACTAAAGGAATTAGGAAGAGGAAGACATAAAAGTTTGTAAAAGAAAATGCATGAAAGCGCAGAAAAAAATGTTTAATGGTGATGGGAATGGTAAACAAGGGGACGTCCATCAATCTTATATATAAAAATGAATCGCAAAATGTGTTTGTAAGCGCATAACTCAACAACGCCTGGACCAATTTGGCCAATTCTTTTCCTAAAATGTTCGTTGAATTTTAAGGATGGTTCTTACGGCGAGAAAAAATCGAATAATTGCCGGAAAAACCTTAAAAACAGCCCTTTTCTTTTTCACAAACAAACGCTTTCCAACTAAAATCAATAGTAGAATCAATTTGAGCTTTATTGCTATTATATACAGTTTGTATTAAACTAGATGACCCGACAGACGATGTCCTGTACCCATGTCTACAATTTTTTAATATAATATACTAATATTTACCATTTACCTAAAAATAATAATTATTGTTTTTTAAATTACTCTTCACGCCAAAATGCATATACATTTATAATATGAGCGATGTTAAATTTAGAGCTGCTTTAAAAAATGACATGTCTTTTTTTGCAATTTTTTCCATTTATTTGTACAATATTGCATATACATTCCAGTACTTTATAATCACATACATCCTAGCAAATTTCCTTAACAACCTTCAGAAAGATTTATCAAAATCCGAATAATCGCTTAGAAGAAGTATACAGTGAGTGCTCGTAATTTAATATGAACTTTATATAATAGCAATAAAGCGCAAATCTATTCTACGTTTTAGTTAGAAAACGTTTGTATGTGAAAAAGAACAGGGCTGTTTTTAGGACTTTCCCGGCAATTATTCGATATTTTGTCCTTGGACTTCAACGAACATTTAAAAAAAAAAAATGGCCAAATTGGTTCAGGCGTTGTTGAGTTATGCGCTTACCAACATTATTTTGCGATTCATTTTTATATATAAGATTACAAGCACTAACTCCTTATAAACGATTATTCGGATTTTGATAAATCTATCTAAAGTTTGTTAAGGAAATTTTCTAGGATGTATGTGATTATAAAGTACTGAGATGTATGTCCAATATTGCAGAAATGAATGGAAAAAATTGTCAAAAAACTACATGTCATTGTTTGCATTGAAAACAAATGAAAACTATCATCTGCCAAAAATTGTAATTTACTTATGAACCTAGACCATATAAGAATATGTATAAAAAATTTATGATTATGAATAAGTAAAAAGAAATGTCTACTATTTTTGTAAATTTAAAACAAAAGAACTCTACTGACGAGCAAACTGATTTCTAAGAAAAAATTAATTTGAAAGCAAGAAGGGACAATATGTATATTAATTCAAAAAAGGGACTCTACTTACAAGCAAACTGACTTTCGAGGTCATTTTTATAAATTTCAAAAGGAAAAAGGAACTTTACTAGTGAGCAAACTGATTTCTGAAAATATTCTTATAAATTTCAAGGGAAAAGGGACGAGCAAACTGATTTTTGAAAAAAAAATATTAATTTGAAAGCAGAAAGGAGCTCTACTTACGAGCAAATTAATTTCTGAAAAAAAATGAAAGTAGAAAGAGACTCTACTTACGAGCAAACTAATTTCTGAAGATTTTTTTTTATAATTTTCAAAACAAAAAGCGATTACTGACTAGGAAACTTATTTCGAAGCAAAAAGAGACTCTACTCTAATTTCCGAAGGAGTCCTTATATTAGTGTATAATAAATTTATGATTATAAATAAGAAAAAAGGAATGTCTACATTATTATTACGAAAAAGCAGCTGAGATGTGCCAGAAATTAAAATAATATAAAATACAGTATATGTATGGCAGATTGGATGATACACATATGAACAGGATATGACAAATTAACTCACTTAAAATATGAAATTAAGTATTAATCAGGGCCGATCCTACCTTTAATGCGATGCATGCGAAAAATACGAGTGCACGCCTTAGGGGGCGCCAACACAAGATTCGGATATTAAATTTTCAATATAGTTTTCTTTTCAATATATAATTTCTTTGCACCCTATACTAATTTTTCTACAATATTTTTAAAATTCGTAAAAAATTTACTTTGTAACAAAAATGGAAAAGTAAAGATAAATAAAATGGAAAATACACATACAATTCGGCCCTCACGATATCGATTAGGAGAAGTTTAAGATGCAATTTTGGATATCTTAAATAATAAAAAATTAAATTAATTTAATCCAACATGAAGTACCAGTGTTATGTTATGGTTATGGTTATGTTATACCGTTTAAAAGTTTTCAATTTCCAATATAGTGTGGGAATTGAGACTCATTATTTTGTTTAAAGCACTTTTACATTTAACATCGCTCATATTATAAATGTATATGCATTTTGGCGTGAAGAGTTATTTAAAAAACAATAATTATTATTTCTAGGTAAACGGTAAATATTAGTATATTATAATAAAAAAATGTAGACATGAGTACAGCACAATGTTTGTCGGGTCATCTAGTCTAAAATAAAAATTTGTGTTCACGCACACTACATTTTCCAATTTCGGTGTCAAACGACTCAGAATTACATGAATCTTCGAGAAAACATAAGGGAATTTCTATCTTAAACAACTTCTCCTTCGAAAACATCAATAAGCATCATGATAGGCGATTACTGTATCAAATCGTGTGTAATCGTTACTCTCAAAATCAAAAATTTCAATTATCCCTTCTACCACAATAACCCCCTGGTCAATTACTACCGATTAATGGAAAATTCCAAGAGGGCTTGTTTTGTATCGATTTCTATTCTTTATTTTTCTTTTTTTTCGTGTCGGTGTTGCGCACCTGTGACGCCAGCGAGAAATTCGGACCAGGAGACCTCTTCTTGCCGCCCGTCACCGGGGGCGGAGCACCCGCCGCGTTTGCGCCGCCGCCTGAACTTGACCCTTTGCGTTTCCGCCGCTTGTTGGCAGGCCTCTGAGACTCTGCGGGGTAAAGGACAGATGATAGAATTATATTATTACACTGAATTTGAGGTATGAATTTTATTACCTGGTGGTGCAACCATCCTCTGCCATTTCTGGAATAACGTCGTCTTCAAACAATCTCTGGGACTCAAAGCGTAAGCTTTGTGCCTCGACATCAGTTCTTGCATTGGTTCCAATATTACACATAACTGAAAAATTTAAGAATTATTAATAAACGACCTAATTTATGAAATTAACAGTTCAACTGCAACACAATTTATTTAGGTAACTAGTGGTGTATGGCATCGTGCCTTAAGGCAAATTGCAGGAACTTTCCGTACCAAATTAATAGTTTTTTAAAAACGATTTTTGAAAAAAATTTACTTCGAAAAAATAAGATTTTTGAGAAATTATAAATTGGACAAAAAATTACTTTTTTTTGAAAAAAAAATATATTTTTTTTTTATGAAAAAAAAAAGTTTTTTTATTTTGACATATTTTGGAAGATCTGAACTTTTTTTCAAAACAATCGTACTGCTTTAACTGCATGGAGACAAAATAAAAAGCGCGTAAGCGCCGCGTCGCCGTCTAACGGATAAACATTGGTACGGAACCCATAGGAATGTAAACAAAATTTATACTTATTTTAAAATTTCTATAAAATATCTGATAATTTGATGTGCATATGTCTAATGATCATTTTTGACCGCCAAATGGCATTTTTTTTTACTTTTTTCGTTAGATCTCCAAAACCGCTAGACCTGCCTTCATGAAAATTTGATCAGTTCTTCATCTTGTTAATACAAGTTCTCTTAAAAACTGAGTTACCGTTTGTGGCACTTTTTGCCCCATATCTTCGGAACGGCTAGACCTGCTTCCGCCAAAAACTAATCAGCACGTCTCCTTATCAATACGAATCGAATTTTTTTTGAATTATTCAAATTGCTTCATCCGTGCTCCCGAAATCGTAAATCGTCGACGAAAATTTGTATCCGCACACATATACATACACACACGCACACACACATACATCCATTTTTCTAAGATATGCACACACATACACACACACACGCACACACACACATACATCCATTTTTCTAAGATATGCCAAAATGTTCAGAAACCTTTGAAACGTGAAGATATATAAAAAATTTCATTTTCGATTTTTTTGCCATTACTATAACTTACCCTACGGGAAGTTAAAAATAGTTGCATAATTTATACAAAATTGAAAAAGTCACAGTCTAAACGCATTTGCAAATAATTCTGTGCGACATTTTCACTTATACTGTGCTTAGCTCGGTAAGCTTAGCTATATAAATTACATTTAGCTCTGTATCTTCGAAATAGAGGGACCTGTCTTTGCCAAAAACTAATCACCTCTTCTCTCAATCATTACAAATTGAATGTTTTTTAAATCATACAAATCGGATGATCCGTTCTCTCAAAAACTCGATATGTATTTTATGCACTCTTTTCTTCGTATCTCCGTAACGGCTGGACCTCCCTTTGCCAAAAACTAATCAGCACATCTCCCTATCAATAGGAATCGAATGTTTTTTGAACCATTCAAATCGGTTGATCCGTGCGCGCGAAAACGTCGATGAACTAGCTGTAAGTGAAATTCTGTCTTAAGGCAATTAAGGCATCGTGCCTTAAGGCAAATTGCTGGAACTTCCCGTGCCAAAAATTATTATTTTTTTAAAAACGATTAACATTTTTGAAAAAATTTTACTTCGAAAAAATAAGATTTTTTGGAATTTTTAAATTGGACGAAAAATTACTTTTTTTTGAAAAAAAAATTTTTTTTAAAAAAAATTTTTAAACATTTTTTTATAAAATTTTTTCTGGAAAAATGTTATCTTCATTTGGACATATTTTGGAAGATCTGAACTTTTTTTCAAAGCAATCGTACTGCCTTAACTGCATAGAGACAAAAATAAAGCGCGTAAGCGCCGCGTCGCTGTCTAACGGAAAAACATTAGTACGGAACCCATAGGAATGTAAACAAAACTTATACTTATTGTTAAAATCTCAATAAAATATCTGATAATTTGATATGCATATGTCTAATGTCTAATGATTATTGTTGACCGCCATATGTTATTTTTTTTTAACTTCCCGTAGGTAAGTTATAGTAATCGTCCAAAATCGAAATCAAAATTTTTACATTTCTCGACGTTTTGAAGGTTTTTGAACATTTTGGCATACTTCAGAAAAAATGGATGTGTGTGTGTGTGTGTGTGTGTGTGTGTGTGTGTGTGTTTTGTATGTCCGCTTTTTTCGTCCACGTTTTCGGGCGCACGGATCAACCGATTTGAATGATTTAAAAAACATTCGATTCCTATTGATAGGGAGATGTGCTGATTAGTTTTTGGCAAAGGCAGGTCCAGCCGTACGGAGATATGAGCAAAGAGTGCAAAAAATAGAAAGCGAATTTTTGAGAGAACGGATCAACCGATTTGAATGGTTTAAAAAACATTCGATTCCTATTGATAGGGAGATGTGCTGATTAGTTTTTTGGCAAAGGTAGGCCCAGAGGTTTCGGAGTTACAGAGCTAATTTAAAAAAATGGCTGTTTTTTGAGAGAACTAAGCGTCCGATTTAAATGATTCAAAGAACTTTCTTCTGCTTTTTTCAACAAAACATTGATTTTGGAAAAAAAATTTTTTGATTCTAATTTTTTTTCAAAAAAATTTTTTTGTAATTTTGGACTAAAAATTCAAAAAATCACCCAGCTAAGCACAGTCTAAGCGCCACTCTGGTACAAATGTTTACCCCAAGTGCGTTTAGACTGTTTGTGTACTGGAGGCACTTTTCCAATTTTGTGAAAATTATTGAAAATGT